TGAATATTAAATATTTCATAAACTAATTGCCATATACGACTGAAACTAGTATCATTGGCGATTTTCGAACACTCATGGAGGATATACTGTAGATACAATTAGATCGACTAAATCGATTGGGATTAATATTGCAGATTGATTCGAGGTTCTGTACCTGTTGAAAACACGTAAGTTAATTTCACCTTAAGATTAATTTTGACCCTCGACTGATAACTTTGCTACGTCCATGATCTTGTCAGCGATTTTGTATCCAATGTCGACAGGGTAGAATAATGTGCAAAAATTACACAAAAATTGTACCGTTCCCGGTTATTCGAGGGAAACCAACGGTTACAATCTCGAAAAGCTTGTCAAACAGCGTTGGAACCAGGGACTTGTACCGAAACGTAAACTATAGCTATTATACCGGTATTTTCGGTTGTACCTTTGCCCTATATAACCCTATATAATCCCTACTTACTTATAGGAACCGAAAAAATAAACGGTATTTATTTCGGTGTTCGGTAATATATCGGTATCGGTGTAGCTTCGATGGCGTAATACCGGTATCAAAATCATACCGGTTTAAGTCCCTGGTTGGAACACGGCAAATTCCGTCTAGACGCGCAGGCAAGAAAGAACCGTAGGGGTGAGAAAGTCGGATCGAAAACGAACGCGAAACTGGTTGCGCTTGGTAAAAAAGGACGCGCAGGATATGTCGAAGATAATGAGAAAAAAATCACGGCGAAATGAACGACGCCGAGGCCCTGGGCCATTTCCCTCTTGAACCAGAGGAGATGGACGGATCGCAGATTACCTGCATTTCAGATTCACTTTGCGAAACGCGCTCCCCCGTGCACTGTAATAAATTACGATCGTAATCGTCGTACGTGCATCGGCGTCCACGTCGTCGCGACGTGAATATCTTACCCGCGTTCCAGAATTTTTCTGTGATTTTGGTGAACTCGTGGGAGCCAAAAAATTTCATCTTTAGATGGTTAAATACCATGCGACGATTTCTTAAAGGAGACTGAGATCGTTTAGGTTACTTTCCAGATCGCACATGACGCCTTAAAGACGGTTTAAAGGAAATTCGTGATCGAAATTGAAAATTCGATGTTAATAAACAATTATTTGAATATGAAACAAGGAGTTGGGAAAAAACAATAATTTAATTATTTGCTTATTTTAATAACTTAATTTATTCGTTTTTATATATACAATTAGAACCATTAGAACCTCACTGCACTATTGGTTCACATTCATCGATACGAAATGATTCAACATTACGAGATCCATCTTTAATTTTCAATTTAAATAACGTTCCAGCACGATTATGTACCATGAAACCGTAAAAGGGCTGTTGCAGGAGTTTCCAAAAATCACCTCAGGGCGTCAGAGAAAGCATTTCTTACAGTCTCGGGGGTCCCAGAAGCAAAAGGTATCACGTGTCGGTCGGTCGATCCGATCCAGGACCACTTTTCGCCTTTCTTTGCAACGATGCTCAAAGATTCGCACAGCCTCCCCCTTCCCCCAATGTCTGGAGGCCTTGACTGGGCCCCTTTGGAACAAACTCTGGGCACACAGCATACCCATGCCGACGGGCCCCTCTAACACAGTCTCGAGATACCTGTGTGCTCGTCACACGTTCGATCACGCAACGTCTCGCACACAATCGTCGCAACGATACCCATCTGTGTATTCCATAAAACTCATCTGTGTGCACCAACGTGTTCCTATATCGAGACTACAGACACATATATACACGACTTCGAATGCCTTTGGCATTATTTCCCCGCAGGCAGCTCGCGTATATTCGAAATTTACATGCAGCTTAGTTTGCACGAGTCTCCCTCGCGCGATATCCGTTCACCAGAGACACCTAATTGAATGTGTAACACACTGATTACTAGACTGCGTACCACCCCTGTCCATATAAGCATAAGTGATGCAGCCCATTGGGAAGTTCACCTGTCACCTAAATTCGTTTGAAATGGAAGTCAGGGTGTTAACCCTCCGATTGTCTGTTGCTAAGTACGACTTACCGTTTCTCTTCCCTTTTTACTTTTCTTTTAAATGTCAAGTTTGAAAGTACCAAACTGCAACGATTAAATTCTCAAAACGTGCACAACCACGATCCCAGAGAATTACATTTCGATTTCAGTCCTCGGAGCACGCGTTCGGAAGCGAAAGTTGAACCAATTTCGTGTTTCTCGCCGCGATTGCAACGGTTCACAAGGCCCGAATTTCGACGAGTCACGTTACGGATTCGATGGTCACGGGGTGTCCGTTTGCGGATCTCAACGTCGTGGAGGCAAGAAAGTAGGGTGGGGGGAGGGCAGATAGGGTGGCTGCGAAGAAAGCCCCGGACACAGAAAGGCCCCGGCCTGCCCTCGGCCCGGACGTAAATTTATCACGACTTTATCTCGACCGCTGGAACGCTGGACGTTCGTTAATTTTCTACCAGCCGTTCCAAACCGCCTCCTCCACCTCCACCTGCGTTCACCATTCGGTTACGTTCCCTGCACGTTTTTTTTTTCTTCATCGTCGCCGTGGACATAAGGGGAGGTGGTGCGGGGGGGAGCGCAGGTAAATCGAGCCGAAGAGGCCCCGGCGCGTCGGTGGTGTTCCCCTCGCGCCATCCGACGGTTTAGATTTCAAATAATTGCCAATTTGACTTTACGACGTCGTACCGCCATTTTTCAAGGCCCGCGACTGATTTACTGGGAATTCTGTCCGTCTGTCCGTTTGTCTGCGCGATCGCGAGCTTTGTGGACGATGAAACGTAGCTCGCGAATTCTTGACCCTTAATATTTGGTCCTTTTTTTGGGGAGGAGTGGGGGGGGGGGAGCTTTAGATATATTATGATTGTTACACGTTATTTTGTGACATTTGTTTTTGACTGTTTCGATATGAGCAATACAGAAGTTAGTTCTGTATTGTTAGATATACAGGGTGTAAGAAAAATGTTGGAAATGGCAGACTCGTCAGGTGATTTGAAAAAAGTTTTTCCTTAGTAAAAATGTTATCAGAGGCTTCATTATCGAGATATTAATGAAAAATTCTGGAAATCAACCTACGCGCCGTGATTGGTGGCCAACGTTACCGCGGGAACTCGTATGGCAGACTCGCGCTCTGATTGGTCGAGGTTTTTCGTTAATATCTCGTTAATAAAGCCTCGAATTATATTTTCGCTAAGGAAAAACTTGTTTCAAATCACCCCACGAATCTCTCGGTGAAAAAGCAAAGTACACGGAACAATTGACTGACGTCTCTGCTGGTGCTGCGACTGGTATATAAATTTAATTAAGATTAGGAATTCGGAGAAGCCGAACGACGACGACGAAGACGGGGGCAGGTTCCCGATATAATATAACCAGTTCCTTTTTAATCCTCCCGTTGCATCTCCACCGGAACGGAAACCCCCGACGGTTTCAGCTGACTCTTAAATACACTCCTCGAGCGTTTTTTTTTTCTCTTATTTTCGTTCTCATGGCACAAAGTTATCTCGTTTGTAATTTATGCGATAGTTCAAGCAGACGAGGCGTGGAATAAGAAAGATTAAGACGGTGTGTATTCATGGATAGAGGAACGATCGGAACGGGACTGAAAATCGACGAAGAGGCATTCCATGCGAAATCGGACCCTTTTTCTTAGAATTATTTAGGAAAATGTATTTATTTTGAGTGCTTTCAGTGACACTAAAATGCAAAATTGGCCCAAAAGTGGAGTTACTTTTAATTAAATTTGTTTTAATTATTAAGGACACGAAATGTTACTCCAAAAAGTGTTCGATTTCGCGTAGAATACCCCGAGACAGACGAGAAAAGGATCTGTCTTTTCAGTCGTTATTATGCATCGTGACGAGAGGGAAAATCGACCACACGTGACCTCCCATGACGCGTTAATTAAACGAACCTCATTAATACGGATCGTGGAACGAAGACGCGCGATCCCATTCGAGAAGGATTTCGTAGTTTGCCCAGCGAGAGGAGAGAACCCCCTCCCCCTCTTCGATACCTTAACCCGCGATCTTGGCCCTTTTTTGTTTTTCTTTTCTACGCGTCGTTTCTTCAGTCGTTCGCGCAGGTCCTTCAGACTGCTGTTTCGACCTCCCTTTCTTCCACGGCCGCCTTCTTAATCTTCCTTTAATTCCCCTGGCTTTTCGTTTCTTTAGCTCCTTTTTCATTTCGGTTTCTTTCGTCTCTCCTTTTCGCCTTCTTCTTCTTCTTCTTCTTTGTTGCCTCCTCCATCCTTTTTGTACTCTTTTCGATTCTCTTCTCCACCGTCGTCCACGGTTCCCTTCTTTCCGTTCGCCAAGCCTCGATTCACGGCAACGAAGGATCCACCGTCGATAGATCTCCGGCTGTCTCGGTAGGCTCGGTGGACGAAGAAGAAGAAGAATCGCGAAAAACTTGCCAGTCCATTAAACATCCCCCCACTCTTTCTCTCTTTCGTGTTCTCTTGGTCACCGACGATCAGTCGCGTCGCGAGAAGATGTCCTCGGGGCCTTTTATCGTTCCGAGGGCAACGTCGCGAAAAATACTGTTCTTCAAATATCCTAACTTCAATGTTTATTACAACTATAATATTTATTAAATTGTACTAATTTCGTCATTTCCGAGGTCCATGGGCATTTAATAAACAAAGTTCATTGATTAGATATCGATACGAGATTAGAAAATCTCGATAACGATCTCTTCAAACACGAAAAAGAACCAGTTACATGATTCACCGTAGATAAACTAAAAAGGTAATAAACTCGACGAAGACAAATTTTAATTTATCTGTCCTAAGGACGAATAAATTAAAAAAAAAAATGGTAAACGGAAGGATATTTACGACTCAACGTGAACATTTCTTTTAATTACACCCACGTCACCCGGACAATGAGTCACAAATTTAATAGAGGACGCAAGAGATCTTTTTGTCCGAGCCGAGTACGGTCCCGAGCCTATCGATCCCCCCCCCCCCCCCCCCCGATGATCGAGATCGAAATGAGAAGAAGAAGAAGGACTCACCAATAGATTGACGGTGCCCGTGTGATCGTCCACCCAGGCGAGAAGAATATCGGCTCCCTTCATGTGATTCTTCTCGTTGAAGCCGATCCCAACGTAGCCCAAGGTCTTCGCGGTGACCTTGAACGTGACCATCTCTTCGTCCGAAGGATCCCATTCAAGGATCACCTCGCCATCGTCGTCGAGGGTTTCGTGTCTGGTGAACCTCGGCTCCTTGACGCTTCTTCTGGGCCTGTTATCATACATCTGTTCCGTATCAAAATGTTTGGTCCCGCGAAAAAGCTTGGCCAGCTTGTCCATCGGTGGTAAATACTTTTTGGGCACTCTGTCCCTCGATTTCGGAGTTCTTTTCAGTATAGGATCATCGAACAGCCTCGTGGTACCGGACTCACTGATCACCTCGAACTGATCGTTCCCCTCGACTTCGTCGTCCGTCTGAAGATCCTCTATCTGAGTGGTCTCCTCTCTGGACTCTGGTAGCGCTTCGATGCTCTGTTTATCGGAGAATGTTACTGTTTCATTGTACTTGGACGATTCTTCGTTCGATAGCTCGATATCGAACGTGTCCACCATCGTTTCATTCATCCTGTATGTCACTATCGTTGTCTCTTCAGGATCGGTGCTGGCTACCCGTGTTCTGTTGTTCAGAAGTTCGTGCTGATTCGGGTCCAGGTTCTCCTCCTTCGAATTGGGGAAGTCCAAACCGTCATCTCCGTACGAGACCTTCCTTCTGGCCTTCCATTGCGTGTACCAATCCTCGTCGACGTCCAGACGTTGCTTCTTGAACGTGCCCACACGTAGCACCGGCTCCACCAGACTCCTCTTTATCCTGGACGATATGTCCTTCGGATGATGCCGGCTCCTGTACGCTAATGTTCTCATTGTCTCGTCCATGTGCTGGACGTACAGGTCCAGTAGATCGCACCTGGCCATCCAGCAGACGGTCAACGTCACCAACAGCCTGAGTATCAGCATCTTCTACGTCTTTTTCTACTGTTCGCTCCTTGAACCTTCATACGATCGTTGGTTTCACGGTTCTCTTTTGATCTCGCAGTATCCTCAAAGCCATCCAAGGTTATGTGGTACTTTTGTTACCGATCAAATCTTCGTGGAAGTCATCGTGATCGCGGGCTTATCATTCGGTATCGACTTTGAAACAAACTGACTTGGATTTGGTAGTTTTAGCTGACTTGGAACTGGTAGCTCTAACTAGCTTGGAATTGGTAGTGTTAACTGACTCTAAAATGGTACTTTACTCATGATTTTCATGCTCCTATCGATGATGTGCACTATACCGTTTATATAAATAATAACTGGTAAAAAGTGTCTGTTTCCGTTAGGTAGAATTAGTCACTGGACGCGCACAAGACTCGTGAACGATTCCCTTCGATGTTACGCGAACGACAGTTGTGCCGGGACTAATTTAAGCACGCGGCTGCTGCTGTTGCCCCTGCGGATGCTTGCAGCTGCTTACCTGCGCCGGTCCCCTTCCTCGGGGCCTTTATTCAGGCCCGTGCCTGCTGCCCTCAGCGCCCCCTTCCGCCGTGCATTTCAGTTTTCCCTGACGTGACCTTACTAAGAAGCCATTTTTTTTTCTGAAAATTCACGAAACAACAATGGGATTGGCTGATCCACTATACAGTTTTTGTATTTTATAAAATACTTTTGACATTTGTATTCTACGAGAATTAAGAATGAAGTTCTAACTATTAGTATATTCGAATGATGGAAAATAGACTGTCTTTGTTAGGAATAGTTGACTGTCCAAACAGATCTATGGAGACTCGAATGTTTGAAATAATCAAAGCATTCGAAGTACTCGGAATATGTATTCGGATTATGTGGAGTATTCGCATACTCGAAATGATCGAATTTTGGATTGTTCCGAATAGGAATCTGAACATAATATATTTTGTCACAGATTATCGTCAAAATTCTTTTCACATTGGCCTTTATAGTTATCTATTTTTCAAATTCCTATTCGAACAGTTCGAATATCCGAATACTTACGGTTGTACTTGCCACCAGATGTAGGAAATTTCACAACTGTGAGAGACCCTTTTAATGATATTGGTAAACTGGAGCGGAAATCGGTGCCTGAACGTGCAATTTGCAGGTTCGTCCTATCGTTATACAGTTCAAGAAGCACCGAAGAAGCCGACAAATAACAGGCTCTTTTGTACGGAACAAGCCGAGGAAAGGAAGAGGAAATCGTCACACCGTCTGAACGTTTCTCCTCTTATTATTTCTGCTCCAAGAGCTATTCTCTCCGTCTAGACAATTTGTAAAGAAAACACACCGTACACTGGCGGGACAATGGGTGATCATCGTTTGGTGTTTCAACGGCTCGAATAATACATACACATTGGAATCGATGAAATTAAAAACGATGGTCCAACTGTCACGTTCATTGTAACCGTTCACACTAGGGGGTTGGTTGACTTGAAAGTTCCTAGAAAGTCTCTCGAGATTGTACAATAATTTTCAGTTACCTGTGTCGTGTACGCAGTGGACGGACAATTGATTCCTCGAGACAATTCTTCGAGGGCTTGGCTTCCTTCCGCAGAAGTTGAATTCCTTGCGATTTAAGGGAGGAAACGGAAAGATCCCGAAGGAAAGGCCCCGGTTTACTGCTTCCTGCGGAAGCCTTTTTTTTCTGAAACCGGAGACGCATTTATCAGTTGTGCCGGCGGTGGTGGTGGTGTTCCAGAAAGAAACGGGGGGCTGCGAAAACAACTGCGGCAGATGTGAGCTCCGTGGCACGCGCCCTTCTGTTCCGCAGTGGTTCTCATCGAACCTTCCCTTCGGAACGGAAATATTTCGAAAATGTTTCTTCTGCTCGCTTTAAATAATAGCATTTTGCACTTTACCGTGAGAATTAAATTGCAAATATTGTCGCAATAATTGTATAGAGTGTTCCACGTAAGTGTTGACACGAATTTTCAGAATTTTTTGTGTTAGACGAAGTATTATTATATTATTTAACTACATTTAATCAATGATCCTTGGCGAAGTACTATTTTTTATCTTTTATTCGTTATTCGAAACTCTTTTTCCTAGATAATGAATTTGCTCATTTCTGATTAAGAGCATCAGCTGTTGGTTGTTCGATCTTTCTCGATCCCAACCAACGTCGTTCCCCATTTAAACACCGTCGAATCTCACCCCATGCCCGCGTTAAACGCATTATTATTCCTAAGCGTCCGCACGCGCTTCGGAAGCCAACTGTATCGAGTTACTTCCTGTGACTGGCATCGAAACACTATACCACACCGAGGAAGGCCTAGCGATCCTTGCGCTGTTCCTTCCTGAACGGATTCGACGGGGTGTAGATCGATACAAAATCAGCAAAAACTGTTGCAGCTGCCTCTTATACTTACGCAAAATGGTGTCACGCGAAGACGAAACGAACCGAAGCGTCCCAATATCGATCGTAGATAGGTAACAGCCAGATGGGTTTAGGTTTAGAGATGGTGTGGAAAATCAGCAACAGTGATTTATCACAGTCATCGCCGAATCACGGTTATGATTTAAGAGAGCTAATAATTTGGTTGATAATTATAAATTTAGTTGAAAATTTAACAAAACATTCATAAAAGCTTCAACTTTTGATTGCTACCAAAAGTGGTCAACGATAAAATTATTGAAAAAGAAACGTTATGAACATTTCTTTTTAACACGAGCTTTATGGAACTGAAAAATGTGAAATCAAAAATCACCGGGATTCGGAACGAACATGATCGAATCACTCGTGTTTGACCAGTAGCAGCCATCTCCAGTTGGGTTTTATAGACATCGAAGCGAGGAATATTTAAAAATTAGGCTTAATAAGCCATAAATCGGATTATCGATCGACCACGCGATGCCCTTTCCCCTCTGATCGAATTAATTAGCTGCTCCGAAACCAGTTTCGCCGGATGGATCGTTCGTGGATAGATTTCGTGTTCTCCGCGTTGTTTCTCCGCCCTATATCCGATACGGGAGTGCATTAAGCAGGAAATCGTACCGAGGAGCACGGTTTTCTCGGAAGTTCGTGTCTGTCAGGTATCACGGTATTGTCAGCTAGAGGAGGATTCCTTTATGCGAAAAGATACGCAGCGCGTACACACGCAACCGTCGCCTTTGGTCAGACCCAGTCGGGGCCCGATGCATTTATTTCTTTGTTCCCGAGGAATCCGAGGATCGATCGGGATCCGTGCCAAAAAGGAAGAGAGCTTTCCGTTCTCTACGGGGATAAATCGTGAATTCTTTGGAGACATATAGAGTATAGTGGGAGTGGGACCAGGAACATTTTCTAGGTGTTCGAGGCTGAGGTTTAGCAAAACCTGAGCCGGACACCCGTGGTTCGGCGGCTTCGGACCGTCACTTCTGAGGATCCTTTCGAGTAGTGCTGGAAAACGGCAAGAGATATATTATTGAAATATAAATAATAAACTGTACAGGAAATTCTCGATAAATGCTCGGAAAGATCTCTGCTTCGTCTCCACTATATGTAATGTATGTATATGTATATGTAACTCGAAGACAGTCAAACTGGTCATAAGTTTATATGAACTTTTTTTTATTGTTTTAATGTACTGAGGCCACCTCTAAAATATTTATTTGTACTAGGTACTTCGTATTTGATGGGGAGGTGATGACCTTAGCTTTTATCCCGTATACACTGAGTGCAGTAGTAGCTTGATCGCGTTTATCAGTTGGGCCTTAGGTGAGTCAGTAGGTTGATCATCGAACAGCGCGTCTGAATTTTTGTAACATTTGGTTGTTTGGATCGTATTGTAATTTGAATGATCGAAACACCTTGGGTACGACTATTCCTTATTCACCATGGAATTCCCAGGTAGATTCCACGGAATTCGCATGGCAGCGCATCTCACGCACGTATCATAAAATATAGCTTCGCGTGCAAGACCAGAATAATACACTGGAATCATTGTTCGGCCAGGCTCGACGACGCACAGTGGTGCAAAATCCCCAAAACGTGGCAAAAATTCCAAAAATGTTTTTGTAGTAGAAATTGTGATGTTCTGTGATTTTTTGTATAAAATAAAGTGTATACACAGAAAAAAGTAAATAATGGGGAAAGGATAAACAATTTTAAAGAATTATTTTTTATGTCTAGGAAGATCGCAAAAGTTACAAACTTTTTTTAAGTTATAATGTTTATATTTACGTCTAGTTTTAACAGAAAAAAATTCGGTGGGGCTCAAAGGACCGTAATTATAAACAAAAAAAATTCAGATAAAACTTAAAAATTTCAAGGATTAAACACAAAAATAACAAAAAATGGAAAAAGTTTTTGTCTCAAATTTAAATAGTCAATACCGTAGTTGTGTTTGATGTCAGCTTTTTTAAATAGTAATAGTATAATCTACGATCGATGTATTTCAATATTACCGCATTATTTTGTTCAAAATTACGTTTCTATAGTAACCGAATTTTTGCACACGTTTTTAGAATGTCGCATCACTGTACGACGGTTGGCCCGTTCAAGTTTCGACCCTCAAACGAACCCAAATGTTCATCTGCCCCGTTTTTGGAGCATACGCGGGAACGCGACTAGGCGGGTTAAACGAACATTCTCGAACGGTTAACTTGTTGCATCTGCCAATCGTACCGGGCGAAACTCGAAGCGGACAGATGTTGTGGACGCAAAGGAAAGTTACTTTTGAGCAGGTGTAGCCGAGCACGCGACAGGTGAACGCCGTGACCGTGTCCTACACGCCCTGAACACATTTTCGAATCGAGAGAGAGAGAGACTAAACTGGACTGATAAGCAAGAATTTCGGCCTACGAAATGGACGGTGAGGATCGGTCGTTGGTAACTGTAAAACATTTCCAAATCGTTCCTATTGAATCCCAAACGGAAAACGAACGAGCACAGAATCCAGGATCGATTCTGTCCCCGGTTCTTTGTACAGAGGCGTGTGTGGTGTTCGTGCCTGCGATAAAAATGACTAGTCATTCGCTTGTTATGCCTCGTACATATCGTAAGGCTTCGGTTTTTCCCAGGACAACGAGATTTCCGAGCCGATACCGTGTCTCCTCTGCTAAATATCCCACGCAGACGACGACGAATAATTTCGCCAGCGGAATACTAAATGGCGTACGAGTTCTCCGGGACGATTCCCTGAGGAACGTTCAACAGTTCTTCTTGGCACTCATCGTGTGCACAATAGGAATCCAAGTACTGGCTGGGCGATCCTCTATAAATTTTGGACTGCTTGCTATTGAATTTCATCTATCTGTTGCTCGACCTGAATCACTGATTTCTACGTCAATTATTCGACGTGTCGACATATATTTGGCATCTTAATTCATCACGAAGTCAATGAAAAATAGTTTCTTGGTTTTTGTAATATTAAGTAGAGTTGATTGAATGAATTGAATGGTTATAGTTTTGGCGAACCTGGAATTCGAGCTATCATTTTTCCTATGTTTCTTACTAAAATTCGTAGTTAAATTTCAGGTAAATCAATATTATTTTGTAGGTGTAACGTAAGTTGTTTCGAAAACCGGTTGTGGAGTGGTACCGGAAGTCAAACAAGCGGATAAGAACGGAATCTGTATTATCGAAGGTCGATAGTGAAGATGCACTTTATTAATTTATGGTTGCTGTCATCTATCTATCGATGCCAGCACTAGCAAAGCGACAGTAAATTGGCTTTGCGTTTGTAAACGAAAGCTGTTGCATCGTGTATTGCGATATAAAATTAAGAGAGAAAGAGCGATATACATGCGCCCGTGATACAGGCGTCTAATTGTAAAACGACAGTTATTCGTGCTTGACTAGTATTACTGGTCATGGTTCGAAGTAGCGACAAGTAAGTGAGCAATGTGATTCAGCGATATATCTAGGTTAACTCTGCACAATTAATTGTCGTTTAAATAATTGTTCGACGTACCTTTCATCGTGTTAGCGACACGCAAGCATTTGAATTTCACCGTTTTTTTTTGTTTAGGGATAGACATCACAGACGTCGGTCGAGGTCGAGATCGAGATCTCGGTCAGCCACACCGGAGAAAAAACGGCGGCGATCTAGGAGCAGAGACAGGGACAGGGATAGGGACAAGGGGCGACATAGAGAAAGAAGAAGTCGTTCTAGAGAGAGAGACAGAGACAGGAGTGACAGAAGAGACCGGTCTGAAAGAGACAGAGATCGTGACAGGAAATGGTATATTACAATTATTAGTCACTATGATGTAGCTATTTACTGATTTTCTGAGTTGTATCAAACTGTTGCGGTAGAAGAATTTCTGTACATCTTCTATTAGAAGTTCTTAATGCGATGCTTGTAATAATGAAGTAATGGGTTCACATTATTGATTGTTTTCGGTATGCTAGTGGAGACAGTAAAGAAAAGCGTCTTACAGGCTCAAAGTCTTCACGTTCAGGCAAAGATCGTTCGAATAGATCAAGATCAAGAGAGCGCAAAGAGAAGGAAAAGGGTGACAGCGATGAATTGCCATTTGATCATACTAAATTGGACAAGGTAATCAATTGCGTGCAATTAGTGTGAGTTACCCGAGTACTTTTCTTCAATTTTCTAACTTTGAATTGTTTTGTGCTCCGTTTCAGGAGGAGGAACAGAAAAGATTAGAACTGGAAATGCAAAAGAGAAGAGAAAGAATAGAAAGGTGGCGGGCGGAAAGAAAAAAGAAAGAGCTGGAGGCAACCAAGAAAGATGGTAAGGCATCCATTTTAGCAAACCTTCAGCTACCTATGAAAAAATGGTCCCTCGAAGATGACAGTGACGAAGAGACTCCTGTTGTTCACAATTGCAACAAGGAAGTCAAAGAAGAAGGGGATAATAAAGAAGAAGTTGAGGAAATTAAGGAAGAAGCTAAGGATGAGGAAGAGGAAGTTGATCCTTTGGATGCTTTCATGGCAGAGGTATATTCGCAATATTTCGTGTTTATTATTACATCAATTATTAACAGGAGCGTTTAATTAAAAGTACATTTGAAATAGGTTCAAGAAGAAGTTCGAAAGGTGAATAAACTCGACAATAAAGGTTCAAAGAATGCAAATAATGGTACAAGTACAGGATGTACTCAGAGTGGAGGCGTTGTTATAGTAACAGGTGTAGCCAAAAAGAAAGTACAGAAACAGAAAGGAGAATTAATAGAACAGAATCAAGATGGTCTAGAATATTCTAGTGAAGAGGAAGGAGAAAATTTGCACGAAACTGCTGCCGGTATCGCAAACAAACAAAAACGGGAGCTAGCCAAAGTAGATCATGCGACGACCGAGTATCAACCATTTAGAAAATCATTTTACGTTGAAGTACCTGAAATTGGTATGTTTTTCATATTACTACATCGCACATCCGGTACGTTGTTTACTCACATTTTCTATATTTCCAGCGAGAATGACATCGGAAGAAGTGGATGCATATAAAGAAGAACTGGAAGGTATCCGCGTGAAAGGAAAGGGTTGCCCCAAACCAATCAAATCATGGGCTCAATGTGGCGTGACGAAGAAAGAATTAGAAGTGTTGAAGAAACTAGGTTATGAGAAGCCGACACCTATTCAATGTCAAGCCATTCCGGCGATCATGTCTGGTCGCGATTTAATAGGCATAGCAAAGACCGGAAGTGGAAAAACGTTAGCCTTTTTACTACCAATGTTTAGACATATACTTGATCAGCCTCCACTAGCAGATGGTGACGGTCCAATTGCGTTAATTATGACGCCCACTAGAGAATTATGTATGCAGATTGGCAGAGACTCGAAGAAGTTCACGAAGTCTCTAGGTTTGTCACATGTCTGCGTCTATGGTGGAACCGGTATATCCGAACAAATAGCAGAATTGAAGAGAGGTGCTGAAATAATTGTTTGCACACCTGGCAGAATGATCGATATGCTTGCAGCGAACAGTGGCAGGGTGACGAATTTACGTAGAGTGACCTACGTAGTGCTCGACGAGGCGGATAGAATGTTCGACATGGGTTTCGAGCCTCAGGTGATGAGGATCATGGAGAACGTTCGACCGGATCGACAAACTGTACTTTTCAGCGCGACATTCCCTAGACAAATGGAAGCTCTGGCTAGAAGAATTTTGACTAGACCCGTGGAAGTTCAGGTTGGAGGACGATCGATTGTTTGCAAGGATGTCGAGCAGCACGTGATAGTCCTTGAAGAGGATCAGAAGTTCTACAAGCTATTAGAGATACTTGGACATTATCAAGACAAAGGTTCCATCATAATATTCGTCGATAAGCAGGAGAACGCTGACACTCTACTGAAGGATCTTATGAAAGCTTCCTACTCTTGTATGTCCCTGCATGGCGGAATTGATCAATGTGACAGGGATTCGACTATATTGGATTTCAAAGCTGGTAGAACGAAACTGTTGGTTGCCACTTCTGTCGCCGCAAGAGGTCTAGACGTGAAGCATCTAGTGCTCGTGGTAAACTACGATTGTCCGAATCATTACGAGGATTACGTGCACAGGTGTGGGAGAACGGGAAGAGCTGGAAATAAAGGGTAAGTTTCTATCTTAACAAAGCCTACGGAATTTGTACTCTGAAAGATTGTAAAAATTATCTTCCTCTTTACAGATACGCATACACGTTCATCACATCGGAACAGGAACGCTATGCCGGCGATATTCTTCGTGCACACGAATTGGCCAGTGTTGTTGTTCCAGAACCATTGCGTCAGCTTTGGGAAGGTTACAAAGCCAGACAAGCCGCGGATGGTAAGAAGGTTCACACAGGAGGTGGTTTCAGCGGTAAAGGATTCAAATTCGACGAATCGGAGGCGGCATTGGCGAACGAGAAGAAGAAGTTCCAGAAAGCAGCGTTGGGACTGCAGGATTCCGACGATGAGGATATAGAAAACGACATAGATCAACAGATAGAGAGCATGTTAGCACCAAAGAGAACCGTACGGGAGATAGCCAGGCCGTCCGCTACTAATATCGCTGTTCCTGGCCAACCTGTACCCAGCGCTACCGATAAATTAGAACTGGCCCGACGATTGGCGTCCAAGATCAACATAGCCAAGAACTTGGGCGCTGAGGCGAAGGGCGCGACTCAACAGGCCGCCGAAGCTATCCTCAAGGGAGCTGGACCTACCAATCTCATTACAGCGAAAACGGTCGCCGAACAGCTGGCTGCGAAGTTGAACACCAAGTTGAACTACCAGCCGCGGGAGGAAGACCTTGTGGAGAGCGATGCTGAGGCCGGTGAACAGACCTTCCGCAAATACGAGGAAGAATTAGAGATCAACGACTTCCCGCAGCAGGCCAGATGGCGAGTCACCAGCAAAGAAGCATTGGCGCAGATCTCGGAGTACTCCGAGGCTGGTCTTACCGTTAGAGGAACTTACATAGCACCTGGCAAGGCTCCGCCAGAAGGGGAAAGGAAGTTATACCTCGCAATCGAGTCCACCAGCGAACTAGCGGTCAGCAAGGCCAAGGCTGAGGTCTCGCGACTGATCAAGGAAGAGCTGATCAAGTTACAAGCATCGGGCGCGCACACTGCATCCCGCGGTCGATACAAAGTGTTGTAAAAGAACTTACATTTCCGTTGTACATGGTATCTTACGCACTACAGTACTCTGATTTTCACTGAACTGCGTACGAGTAAAATTAGAGATTTATTATTAAACTTACAAATGACTATACAAAACACTTTCTATTTAACGGTACAATAACGAAGTATACTTAACGCTTACGGAAGTATCGATCCTGCCAATAATCTTTCTACGAGCGATCCGAAATTTTCCCGCGAACTAACCCTGTCTGCGACGATTCGGGTTATCGGGATCGATAAAGGTTATTCCGCTCTGTGTTCAGCACCGTGAAATTTCAAACAAAGCCGCCGGGAGTATTTTCGATCGACTATCTGCGAAGAATACAGCGGGAGACACGGCGGACACGTTGTTTGGTAACCATAAGTTAGGAGGGACTTTATTTACAAACCCAGCGTGACCACTCGAAAGTAGACGAGCGATCATCCTTTTTTTTTTTGTACACGTTCCACCTGCTCCCATTTCTTTGGCAATATGAAAACATCGACGAAAATACAATATTATATTCTTTCCATGTATATTACGTAGGCACTAGAAGAATCACAGTCATGAAATCGGCGTCGTCGCGACGGACGACGCCTGTAGGTAAACGAAATGCTTAGCACCTTTCGAAAATACGATCAAAGAGATCTTCTGTATCGTCTCTCGTTGCGGTAGTCGCGCCTCGAATCAATGATCTATGCCGCAACCAGTGACAATTTTCATTTTCCTATCTTTTTCTCTCTTTCTCTCTCTCCGTTCCAGTCCTCACGAGAAGATCGTATGAACAACGAGCCCGAGAAAGATGTTCACGAGGCATCCTCCAACAGTGATGGCACAGGATATGTAATTATGAGCGATCTCCGCTCTGGTGAGCGCGCCCAGAGGAACCTCGGCCGCGATTCTAGGACTCCTCTCCAATATTCTGGTAACTAATTTCTCGGTCTCGGTCACGCAGGCCCGCAGCTGGAGGGCCGAGGGCCTCTTGGACGTGGGTTGCACGATGACGAATATATCACGATCGGGCGTCATCATCCCCCGAAGAGCGCACTGCGCCACCTGAATCTGCCTTTCCAGAGCGGTCAACAGGGCGTCCAGGGTGACGGAATCCTTGTCCGCGTCTTCGTCCATTATGTAATATATTCTGTCCACCTGTAAAACCGATAAAACAAAAATTAAATAAAATATTTGTACCATTCGAATGTTTCTCGAGACAGCACCGTTGGCGAAGAACATTGTGCGTGTACCTGTTTCTTCGAGTAGAACAGTTTAGCCGCTCCTCCGCAGACGGGACAACAGGCACCTGGCGGAGTGACGCCGACGCAATAGGGCTCTATCAGTTTCGGACACTCGACCAGATCGGGGCAACGTGGCAAGGCTAGATCACCGATCAATCCAATGGCCATGCAAGGTCCAAAGTAGTCGACCACTGTCCTCTCCGCCCAGGCGACGCACTCGTTAGTGTACACCTCGCCGTTGATGCCGCACACTGGGCCTCTCAAGCTGCATCCCTCCAAGCAACGTCCCAGGTAGCCCAAACTGGCGCCAGCTCGGATCATGGCACAGGCTGATCGATGTTGACGGTTCTCCTTGTCGCAAACCGGCCCACCAGACTCGTCCCGTGGATCACAGTCCAGAGGAACGCATTCGTATTGACGACAAGGCTTGTGCAGCCTGGACAGGCATATCCTGATCCTACGGATGCACCTTTCGGTACTGTCGCAAGGATTCGACGCGCATGGGTCGCGTGACGAGCAGCTACCGAACTCGACCTCGTTCGGCGACAGCTCGGCGCACTTCGCCAGGCAACCGGAGGCGAACGTGAAGCCCAACCGTCCGCAGACAGGAACGTAATGGGGCGGACAGTCGCATGGCAACGAAGGGATTCGTACCTCGCTGCAGCTTCGTTTCGAACACGTGAACTCGCCCTCGAAGCAATGACACGGGTTGCATTCCAGATAGAAGTTAGCTTTGTGAGCGATCAGACGATCGTGCACCCAGCAGGAGTTGAGCTTGTTGCAGTTCAAGGTACGACACTTTTCTAGACCGCGCAGGGTACATTGGCAGATCCGTAGGCAGCCCTGTTGATCGTACCGAGGGATCTGGACCCAGGAGCCGACTGGTACTAATTGCTTCGACATTTCACCCAAGGTACAACCTGGTACACAACGGTAGACCTGTCGACCGTACGGGAGCACCTCGCAGATCTCGCCCAGGGCGCAAGGATTGCTTTTGCACGGTGTCATGATGTCCTCCTCGAGGTGGATCACCGACTCGTTATCCTGCGGCTCCTCCAGGAACGGCCTCAAAGAAACACACGGAGAGTCTGATCTTGGTGGTGACAGTTTTGCGCAGAGGGTGTGCGCGGTGTGAGGCCCAGTAATCGCCGTCCAGTCCACGCAACTTGCCATCAACTCCAGACAGTCCTCTCGGCAGAGTCTGGTCTCGTGAATTCTGGCTTCGCAGGGTTTTAACTGCAATAGACACGCAGCCGCCCGCAATGTTGCCGGCGGACAAGACGCAGCTGCACGGACTGGTACGCCTAAACCTCGAACGAATCCACCTCTGGCCCAGTGGTCGGCCTCCCATTTGGCTGCCTCGTCTGCCACTGCTGAGCATGTTCTAGGGGCGAGGAATGAACAATAAGGAACATAGCGGGGTACAGTGAATTCTCGATGAGTATTCCAAAGGTCGTCGACTCTGAACATGAAATATTTCGTAAACTAATGGTTATATGCGACTGAAACAAATATTATTGACTTCAGAATTTCAAGATCTATCACTGGGCTAAATGTCATTAAACAGTTAGCGTTACATCTGGGGACTTCTTGTCACTGCCGAGGACCCAGCGACAGTGTGAAGAAGAAATCGACCAATCGCAAACTTTATGGGAAGATCACAATTGGTCCATTTTCCTTACGATCCTTTACGTTACCGCAAATGCAGCGATTGCATCGAAATTTTGAGGTTTATGGGTTAAATATCAATATTGGAATATGTCACATTAAATATCCACATTTGAATTGAAAAGTATCTATGTTCGCGAAGTATCGATACAATATCGCCCATCGCTACAGCGCGGCCTGAGAAAGTATTGAAAAGTATCGATATTCGAAAATCGGTACTGTATCGCCCATCGCTACAGCTGGGCTTAAGCAAGAATAGAGAAAGTATTGAAAAGTATCGATATTCGAAATATCGTTATCGCCCATTACTATAGTGGGACTGGAGTACGAGCGCAATAGGACAGTCCCGAGCAGCCCATCTCGCAGGGCTCCTCGGTGTCCTCCAGACACCTTCTCAGCTCGCCCTCTAAGCTCGAGGACAGGCATTCGGTGTCCAGCTGAACCCAAGCGGATTCCCAGTCAGCCTGAAACGCCCTCCAACATAAATTCTGACACGATGGTTTCGTTGCTTTCGTGCAACAGGACAATTTTCCCGCGTCCAGCGGTAGCCTAGCTGGTTTCGCAGATCCGGATTTAAGTAGACAACTCCAAAACGGCGACTGAGGCAACACCGGCTTACATTTCTCCGTCAGGGCGTCCATAATCTCTTGATCGGTTGTCGCGGTACGAAGAATCCGTTTGCAGGTATCCAAGCAAGCTGGTGTGGTGGCTTCGTTGCAACAATGTAAATCTGTTTGTAGAAGGGAACACGTGTAGTGTTGCAAACAGAATACAAAATTCCTTCTTAACCCGCTCGATGTTTATGTCGACTATGCTCGTTATGGAAAGGTGACATTTTTTTTGTTTAGTGAGTATACTCGACAAAGTCAGAGTAAATTTCTAATTAAATAACAAAATTACTCTTCCGACTTGAGCGCCATCTATTGTCAAACAAAAATTCTGTAACTATACTCGTCATTAAGCAAAAAAATTAGCATTTGTTATTTATAGTCAAATTTAGGTAAAACAGAAATGATATTTGTAATTTTAACACATTTTAGAATATTTTACGAAAAAAAAAGAAATCATACAAGTATTACTCTGAAAATTCGGCTTCCGCTAGGAGAAAACGTGGTGTAGAGGAAGGGCTTCCTATCACTTGATCTTAGGAGTTACGGAAAGGTATGCCAAATTAACATTGGCTTTAATATTTATTTTGGTACATGAAATAAATGTACCAAGTGGTAGGAGGCCCTTTTCTACGTCACTTTTATCCTTAGCGGAAGCCGAGTTTGCTCGCGAGTGTACAAGAGCAATTTTGTTACTTTATTAGAATTTACGCTGCTTTCGTCAACTATACTTGTCATACCTTAAAAATAATTAAGCAGACAAGTGTACATTTTCAAAATAAAATAAAACATTTAAAGAATTAATTTTTACATACGTTGTTTAGGATCCTCCGCGTGTTTCACCTCGGCCACGTTCTTCAAGCACTTTGGTACCTGATGGAAGCAACCCTTGCTGCTGTACAGCTTCAGATTCGAAATTTTCCCGGGTTTGTAGAACAGATCCCGACATATGGATCTGCACGTGTCGTTTGACACGTTGCTGCAGCAATGTTCTGCATCCTCGCGCTTTTCCAGACACGAGAAAAACTCGGGCTCGTCGCTCGGTCTGCAGGAATCGTTCAGATGTCTTCTAGATCCGGACAGAGCGCACGCGGATCGACAGGTGGGATTCACCGCCAGGTAACAGCAACCCCTTCCCGTCCAATTACCATGTTTTCTGACCTCTACAATAGATAATAATTAAAAAAACAACGTTCCCAGTGGCGAAACGGCCTAAAGCGAAGCGATACGTGTTCAGAGGCTCTCACCGTTTAAAGTCGAATTGGCGCAGCCCCAGAATTCCGTCTGAAAGAAGAAGAAAAAAAAAAGAAGTGGAAGAAGTTGATGGCAATAGGGAATATATCCAGATAAATCGTGAAAACTGAGTATGAATCTAAGGTATCGCCAAGAGTCTCTTGTAACGCGAACACCCCCATTCAACTGGCCCCTGTCTCTTTTCTTCGAACCGCTTGAAAGGCATTGTGTCGGCGGATCTCTGACGATTTCGCGCGAACTACGATCCTGTGTTCGGGTATCGAGTACGGATTAAAAGGATCGATTAAAAGACGGCTTACCAGCTCGAGGGAACAGAACTCCTGCAGCCGTTGTGTCGCGTTCTCCCTTGCCTCCGAGTCCGCGCCCAGTGTGACCAGAGAGATCTGAAAGGGATGAGTAATTTTTTTCACTTTCTACTTTTCATTTTCCTTTTTTTTTTATCTCGAACGAACCACCATCGTCTTTTGGCCCACGAGGATCTATGGAAAAGGTGACAAGATCAAAGGAAAGGGAAAAAAAAACGACGCAGCTGTGTCTCTCGACCGATGGGAGTTTCCACGATCCGCTCCGAATGGCGAGGTGTAATGCGCGAGAGTTTTTATTAAAAATCAAGGACACACACATACGTAGGTTACACACCATCGGCCTTTCCACGATTTCCTGTTGTTCATCGCTGAATGACAATAGATCGTACGAATATATCGACTGGCAAGAGCCGTTTAGAGGTTCATTCTCGATTCAATCAGCGTCCATCGCGAGGACGTGACGGGGACCATTTCGTACTCTCGTCACGGTCGCGAGTTACGAGCATCCCATTGGCCAGCGTGCGGTGGGTCCTGTTAGGTCTTGAGCGTAGCCTGGGTCAGAGTATGGGACTTCGATTTTTTTTTTTGTGATCGATTTCAAGTAATTTTAACGCACCAATAGACATCTAAAGATGCGCTGAATGAGGATTTAAATATCAGTAGAGCTAGTGAGTAGACTACGGATGTGCAGGCATTTATAACATTTTCTAACTTTAATTTACCAAGATAAACCTTTGATTTAAATTTACCAAGTCCTTCTTTTTTCCCTAGCGGAAGCCAAGTTTGTTCGTTAGGATACATAGGTCAAAGTCAGGGATGATTAATTTTTCAAAATGACAGGGCCCAGAATTAGGAAACGCCGCATATCGAGGTATGAATCAGGTTCGATGACGCAGGGAAGCTTTTAAGTCGAGTCGCAAATATTTACATTGCAGAATAATATTTGGTCGCGACGAATAGACGTAAAGATGAAAATAGCAATGGCGGAGGTGCTGATAGCTTTTTCCGTCGAACTGTTGCAAACGTTAAGGGCGTAAACGATAGCGAATCACGCAGACGACGCACGTATTTCTGTCACGGTATATTCTTGGAGGTATGCGTTATGGCCGTACCTCGTCGCCATTTTGAAGGGGTGCATTTTTCTCGCGAAAATTGCTCACGGTAAACAGTCGAACATTCTCATCGGGATGTAAAACCGAGAACCATTATCTTCGATGCCGTAGTTGTCACATTGATCATCGTAGTTGCATTACGAACTGAAATTTACGGTAAATATTTACATACAATGTGGGATTCACCTCCGATTTCGATGATTTTTATGTGAATGTTTCAATGGGGGGTCGTCGTTTGTAAAAAAGTTATTATCAAAATAAGTTTCTTAACAACACATACAAGAATGATCGAAATCGAAGATATTATTGTAAATAATACCCTTATGGTAAATATTTACAAAATCTACAATATGGAAATTGGAGAAAAAAAATGTGATCACTGTATTCCAACGACGCTAGCCAGTGTCGCACGTAGCGTATCCGGTGACTTCGCCTCTGAATTCACAAAAGGGGGCCCAGTGTGTGGCTCATCGGTAGTCAGGACGACCGTGGGCCCATCTTTCTCGAGCTGCTTCTACACCTCAGACTTGTGTCGTGCATCACCATTCCACCGACACCGTCGCGGTGGGACACATGAAATATTGGTCAAGGAACGTATATCATACGTGGGCTGCCTCTTCGCGAGCACCCAGCAATATATACAGGGTGGTCCGTGTCGATACCACTTCTCTGATAACAGTCGCGACCGTTAAAAAGGGGCCTGATACTCGACGAAGATTATCAATTCGGACACCGTTTATCGACCCCGTTGGGACCACCCTGACTATCCTCTCGAATAGAGAATCACCTAGAGAAAACGAACGGGCTCTCCTAGATGAGAAATTGGAAGTCTGGAGGCGAATTCGCGGCTATAAATCGCCCAGGGAAACACGATATCATTGATAACCGTGGCCCGTTTTCTCGGGAGTCGAGTGCGTCAATTCGTAATATTTGCGTATGAATGAGCCTACCACGGTTGCCCCCCCAGGGAGGGGGTCCCGCGTAAATCTCTCAGCGGGCCCCAGTGTCTCCGATATTATCTCGAAACGGGGGGGAGGTCCCCCGTTGCAACCACTTTTAAAGAAGCTACAACCACGCGTGCAACCCCACGTCGCTCCGTGGCCGAGGGGCCCCTGTCCGAAAACCACCGTGCTTCCTCTCTTCTTCTTCTTCTTCTTCGTCTTTTTCTCCTCTTTTTTTCTTCTTTCACCTTTTCCCCTCCGTCCATCCTCGTCTGGCTACAAGTTTCCTTTTTATCCCCGCGGGGAGATCCTAATATATCCGTGGACACGGCATATTTTGTACCCTTTTATCGTCCCCGGGGTCGGGCCACCGATATTTATCAGCGGTGCGATATCGCGCTCGCAACGTCGCCTCGGCGAAAATTATATTCCTTCACCCCTCCCCCTCCACTCGAAATTGTCTTTTTGAAATTCCCACGGAGATCTTCGCCGCGTATAATTAATAGATTACGGTTGGAGAACGATCGTTAATCCGGCCAGGGACAACGCTAGTCCGATTAATCGGTTAACGATACACCCACGCTGTTCGAACAGTTCGAGCGGAATATGGTTTCATTGTAATTGGATCTTGGTTTTTTTTTTTGTGGATTATATTGAAGCGACACACGGTGGTCCAGAATTAAAATTTAGCAGTTCATACGCTTGTTTAGTAAACGCGGCAATGAATGAACACCTACGAGATTTTGTAAATATAAAAGTGAAATTTTAAATGACAATAATACCAATAAATACTCGACACGTGCAAATGAGATTTTTAAGGTCTATACCTTTTTGTGGCATATAGATTTCGATTTGAAAAATTGGAAAACCGTGATTAACTGAATTAAAAAGAACAAATACCAATGAATGAACTTCAACCAGTAAATGAATATTTCTAACCAATGGCGCGAAAGTTATTTGAATAGGAATCAAGAAATTGAAAAATATCAATATTTAATAAGTTTAACTGCCTGAATATTTTTCATCTCAAGAATGCTGTATTATACTATATTTCAAGCTGTCGTTCGAGTAACTTTTCAATACGCTCGAGTACCCATGTGCTTTTCTAATGGGTGGTTCGTTCAAGTGTTGTAGATGGATGGGAAGCATACCTTGGAGCAGACACTGCGACAAGATCCGGCCGCCAAAGAACAGCATGACATCTCTGGAACAAATAATACACCGATACTTTAGGTCGTTTTTCGGGTGAGACGCGAAAACACATGGCTGGACCAGAGTGTCCCGTGGCAGAGGACACGGTGATTTTCGAGAGAGGTTCCTTTCTCTGGTTTTCTCTGGACAAGAAACAGACGCGTGTCCTGCGTTACGTCAGTCGCACAGAAAGAGAAAGGACCAGGTTTTATGGGAGCCGGATGAGGGTACGTGAGACACGTCAAAACTCAAGTACCCTCTACCGACCATCATTCAGACATCCTCCCTTCAGATCGCGGAAGACGATTGGAAAATGTGGTAGAAAATGTACAAATGTTTTATATTTGTTCATATATACAGGGTGGACCACGAAATGTGATCAGCTTAGATTATTTTACTAGTAGAATAGATGCAATTATTTACTCTATAATTCTATATACAACACATTGTACACCGAACATCATCTGATACTTCTTTTATTCCTGTTAAATACAATGTCTGTTATTTCGTTTAATTGCCACGTAGAACACTTCCGTCACATGCGACGGAAGTTACTCGTGACTCAACCCCGTAGAGAATATTCACAAACGACAATTGCAGAGTGCCTTTATTTAATTGGTTAACTGCAAATGAAACTGAACCGTTATGTTGTATTGCAGATGTCGAAGAGTCTTTGCTACGAGGAAACGGTCTTCAGGATCCGAATTTCTGAAAGGCTGATTGTACACTTCCTGCGGATGTTCGCCAGTTCAAGTAGCAAATTCGGATCAATTGAGACAAAGGAGACGAAGAGTCTTTCGTAGGATACTAGAGCAAAATTTTTCCATCGATTCTGCCTCCACGACGGGCGTTCACGTGTAAGGTAATTCGGGGAATGATGCCTAAGGTTTCTTATTAAATGCATAACAAATTTCATACATATATTTCTATGAAACCAACCAACGTCATTTGTTACTTAAACAATACACTATGAAATGGACACTACCAAATTAACAAAAATTAAATGTTAACCCTTGAAATAACACGTTTTTTATTTTATTAAAATACGAAATATCAGGCGAGAGCAAAAAATTCTTACGCACATTACAATAATAATCTTGTTCGAGACACGCGTATATTGGAGGTTAAAATAAATACCAAGCAATATTCTAGTACGGGACATAATAAATGAACTCGTAGATACCATTTTGCTACTATCTACCGAATAAGTTCTAAATTATTGTTGTTTGGCATCTTCCTCCGAATTACATTATTCTTCCTGTGGAAAATTCCCTTTATTAAAAATGATCACGTGGGAATGTGAACATGCGGTGGCATCGTATATACATATATTCATCGTCCAGGGGAATCCTCTCGTCGCGTAAGTGATCTTTTACGACTTCACGGGGCATAATATGCGGGCCCGGTCAAACTGGCTTTTCAACGGGGACCGAAATCGGTGAATGCACGGCCACAATAAACGATCCACCATCGGCGTGAGCGAGACGCAGGATGCCCACGGAGACAGGGGCAGGGGAGGGTTCTCGAAGCGTGTTACAATTACGTTAATAGATACCAGTCAGACACAAATTATGGCTGACTGTGTCTCTCTGCGTGACTCGGCCTCGTGTAGCGTGTTGTATATGTATACTTAATATCGTCATCGTGGACAGTCTGCCTTTATCGTTCCACGGTTCACCATATTCTTATTCTTTCGATTCTTGAGTTGTAATGATAGCTGTACACGGCAAAAAGTTCCTTCCGTTTTTACAGGGCAAACATTTGTACAGTTGGAGGACGACAAGATGCACCTTGTGTTTTAGGGGAGAGGAACCGCTTGGTTGGATATCGGTTTCAAAGAAGGTACTGAGAGGATGTGATCTACTCGCTTCGCTTAAAATATATCTTGGGGTTTCGAATGTTCCCCAATCATAAAATATGTGATTATTTTAATAGTGGAACTACCGTAACTGGTAAAACGATGGATTTCAGATTTCTTATTTTGTATGTTACGGAAATATAACATGTTCATGTTAGAAAATTGTAAACTAAAAAAATATTTGTTCTGATGCTTCTCGAATTCGTCTAAGTATTCGTTAAAAGATTGATGTAAAAAAGTTATAAGGTTCATTTATAAAAAGACTGAAGGTGACCTTGAAAATTCCAGAAAAAAAGAGTCAACAACAAAATTTGGTACAATCATCATAAAGGTCTTCTTGAATAATATACTGACTAAAGAAATTTTCGATCTAAAAGCTAGCAGTAGAATAATCTAATCTGATCGCGTTTCGGTGTCCACCCTGTATATTATACGTTTTAATTATAGCATACATCTAACGTTGGTAGTTCAAACGTCCGAATGTATACGATTATTTTTTGTATTATATTTTTTGGTAGTTCTGTTATTTTCTTATTATAATTGTTTCAGCGCCACGTAGTCCATTTCGTCGGTTCTTTTACGAAAGAAAATAGTCCGAAGAGTCCACCGCGAAAACCCCATAGAATCGTGAGATTCGCGGCGGCAAGCTGGAAACGTAACCAGGGACTGCGTGGACTTCTCTCGCGGACGACACAAAAATAGCCAGGCCCGTCGTTTACGGAGCATTCGACTTCCACCCCGATCTAAGTGGCGAAGTCCCCTTAATTTTATCCGTCGTGGAAAATGGAACGACCGCAACGTCCGTTCGTCTCTTTGAACGTGCTGCTCTGAAACGGTACGAGTCGAAATCCTGGAGCAGAAACACTTTCGGCTCGAATTTAGAAGCGTTTGTCGTCGACACGGAGGGAAGAGGGCACAGACGGACAGTGTGCGTAAATTTAGCGTAAAGAAATACCAATGTTTCTTCGATTTTATTATATACGCTTCGATTCAAAGAAGCGCACGCCTTGTCTCTGCGCGAAGATACGAATACCTTACTGTTTCTTTTTTTAGGAGACTGCTGCGTTTCACAGTAGAGCTATTAAACCCGTCAAAATGACGGATTGCAGATTTAGTATTTTACCATTACTGAAATTATAATGGTGCTTTTGACGGAATTTATGTTGGCGTTTAATTTACTACAGATTTTATTTTACGCGCGAAACATTCCCGACACCGTGTGGGTGGGGGAATGCACGACGATATGTGTATAGTTGCATATAAAAGAAGGCCCGTGGATTGCGCTCTCGCAGCTGCGCGCGAATGGTGACATCCACCGTTGTTGCCCTCGTAAAAATCGCACAATTCTCCCACGCCCCGCGGTAATAATCTCTATCCGCCATATGCGAAATAAGCCAGAGTAAGTTGGAAAAACTTCTACGAATTTGAAACTTGGATCATCTCGATATCTCGTGCGGACGTTTCTGACCATTTTTATAGAGAACTAGGATTACATTTTGGGGATACGTTTCGATTAACATTTTTTACATTTCACTGCAATATCAATTTAAATATTTTTGGGACCTTCAGGGACCTCGCGGTGTCATTCTACGGTTCCAAGAAATTGCCAATCGCTTTTGAAATTCTATCGCAAAATCTATGTGTTCCAAGAAATTACCAATCGCTTTTGAAATTCTATCGCAAAATCTACGTGTTCCAAGAAATTACCAATCGCTTTTGAAATTCTATCGGAAAATGTATGCGTTCGAAGAAACCACCAATCTTCTTTTCTCTGTTCCAGATCGGAAACTGTTTCTTGAACGTACCGACACCTAATTGCTCCAAGAAACATCCCGTACAATCGTCGAAATCAATTGATCAATTAGTGTCCGCCATCCGTTGAACCTGTTGCCCTAATTAGCCCGATCGTGTTGCACATTTTTTTTCCTTCGGTGACAAGGATGCTCACGGTCGGTACCTCGTTACGTCATACTTTTCTGAAGAAATACATATTTTCCGGGTATCGTTCGCAAAAACCGCATCAAATGTACAGAACGATGAGACCTTAACACTTTGAATTCGGAAAACGTAGTAGTACGTTTTTTCAAATAACAAACGCTGAGAGGGGTTGACATGATAGTACGTCTTTTTTAAAATGAGAACTAGAATAGTAAAAAAAAATGAGGGAAAAATCGTTTTTCATATCGCTTTTATATAAAAAAATCGAACTAAGAATTTCTTTCTTTAACCCTTGTGTAGGCAACCGGGTACCTAGGTACCCATTTTCAAATTTTCTTTCACAATTCTTTATGTCTTGTCTAAAACAACACTTGATATATTATAGGAAAGAAAAACTAACAGTTTCGGAAAAGTATAAAAGCGAAATTATTTATATTTACTTAATTTGTCAGAATAGGGGTATTCCAATTGTCAAAAGTTTCGTCTTTTGTTGTATGTATTTCACAGAGCTTTACGAGCAATAAATGCATAAAATCTGTGGACTATTAATTTTACAGTTGTACTGGACACCGAGAAAACGCGTAGAAAGAAGCCGGCAAGGATACTGTATTACGTCTAATTAATACAGCCATCAAACTTAGCGAGCCACATCGAGGATATACGTTGCATCGTTTCACGGATGGAAGGGGGAAAGGGGGGCACGATCAAGGGAGAAGGAATCGCGGCGATCGAAGGCGATGGAGAATGAGAGGAAGGATCGATCGTAGAAAGGAGAAGGATGGAGCGAGAGGGTAAAGATCAGAAAAGAAGGGAATCGAGATACGTGTCTCTCGACATGTTTTTATCCGAGCGTGAAGCTGTCACGGTGTCTTATGTGTTTATTTATCTGACCACTCTCTCTTTCCCTCTTTCTCGACACGTCGCTGAACATGTATCGAGAGAGGCCCCGGGACTACACGCGTGTCTCCGTACGCACGTGGTACAGCACCGTGTCAGGGCCCTTGCCGATTGGAAGCCACGCCGCACAGTGGTCCGAATTGAACATTACCGGCCGATTATTCTAAAAAGTCAACTTTCTCATTTCGATATCTACTGATTGTGTGCTATTTCCTAAATGTCAATTAGTACCAAAAATGAAAATATTAATTTAATGGGTATTTTAATGGAAACGAACACTTAAAGTCGGACGTTTTAAGAATGGTGCTTTTCACTCGACAAAACTGCTTTCCTTCTTCGAGGTGTCCCGATAATCTCGTTCATTATTTTTAAACTAAAGAATATTCTTCCGTGATTAGAAATCATACCTCCTGTACTAGAATACAGTTGATATTTGCAAAATTCGAAAACACACTTTACAATAAGGAAAACGAATTATTGTTCTTTCCACTAATTTGTAAATTCTTCTTTCCATTTTAGGATTTGTACCCTCCAGACAACGTGGACACCGTACATACGTGCTGCAGAATTTATTGTACACGGTCATTGAATTCATGCTCGGCTCGATCATCGTAGTACAGTGAGCCCTCGATGACTGCGACACGAGCAACGGCGTTATTCCCACCACTAGAAGAGTCCCCCCGTGGAATGGATCAAAACAGAGTAAACAGAAGCTAAGCAGAGGCTCGGCTTCAGGTAAAAAGAAAAATTTATGAGAGGCTGAGAACCTTTGCCATGAATACTCCGAAGTGGCCCAAGTATGTCGCACTCATCGAGACATTATTGTATTTCAACAGACATTGCGCTGGCCGGTTGTTGTTAATGAGTTTCATACGAAGACGAGAATTGGGGTTAATAGGAAATGGTTATAATCGGTACAGCGCATCGTCGTCGTCGATTAATAATGTACCCGGGCGTTCATTTTGCGCGGGCAAGCGAACTGGCACGCTGCGAATTAATTAGCAAGATCAATCTCACGATCGATGCGTATCCAAAGTGTTGCCATAAATCGGTTGCGCAACCTCTGGCGCTCGGTCGGTCGTTCACGTTCCGATTCCTCGAGACCTGAAATACAGGCGAAATTATATGCACGCGTGAGATAGAAAGGATTTACGCGCGGCGGAACGGCCGTTAAAATTACTATGATCCGCTCGTGGTTTCGCGTATTAACGGCTGGGCGCCCAGAAGCCAACGGGACAACGGTCCCTTCCCTTTTCTCATCGGTCCCATCTTCCGCTCTACCCTTTTCTCTCTTTCTCTCTCTCTCTCTATTTGTCTTCATATACTAATTTCACGATCCAGCCTTTTCTCTCTCTTTCTATTTGTCTTCGTACATTAATTTCACGATCCACACTCGCCGATCAACGCAAGAAAATTACTACAATTGAAATGACACCTTAACGATGCTTTATCGCGGCTACCAACGATTCTGATCGAAAGTTTCTTTTTGTTCTTTTTTTCGTGGATTTATCGACCGAGCTTAAGGAGCGACAACTTTCTAGATCAACGTGATCTAGGCGTGTAATATCGTCGACAGAGATAAGCGACCGCGCGAAACCGAGGGACACATCGGAACAGAACACGGCGTTCCATACCGGAATCGACGCCTTTCGATCGCGCCCGATAGCGCAGATAGCCCCGGCTGCCGCTTGTCTAGCGCATTAGCATTGTATTGGCATAAATATCGGAGCTGGTTCCAGCGGCGTGCGGAACAACGTTAACATTCATTCTTGGTTGCGATAAGGGGATCGAGTGTGACGGACGATAGAGGATCGAAGGCTTCATGAGTAAATTTTGCGATCGTTCATGGACCTATTTTAAGCGAGGAACGAGTTCTTTTAACTTGTGATTTAAGGTGGCTCACGTAAATTTGTAGTAATTAGAAATTTAGGTGAAAATTTAACGTAACATTTTTGAAAACATCAACTTTTTATTGATACCAAAAGATCGCAAGGTTAACGATAAAATTATTGAAAAAGGAACGTTGTACAAATTTCGTTTTACACGAGCCTTATGGAACTGTAGTTGATACAGAAGTTAACCATTTCTTATTTAGTTACAAAAAATAGTATTTTCATAAAAAATTATATAGGTTATAGATTTTTTTACGGCAATTATTATGGGACGGAAAAAGAATATATTAACGATCAAATAAAAGTAAAAATTAAGACCAAAGTATGCAAACTTAGGTTTCAATGTCAACGTCACTTGTTTTCCTTTGTTTTGTTCGACAAACTTTCCAATTTTCTCTTACGTTACTTTTTCCCCTAGTGGAAGCCGAGTTTGCTCGTCGGTGTACAGGAAGAAAGATTCACGGAAACGAGGGAGTGACCGAAGATCAATTAACGCGGAACTGTTCGTTCGTTGTCGAGTACCAGCAACAAGTACCAAGGAAGAGGGGCCATGAAGAGTGTGCAGCGCGAAGGTGAGAGGCCCAGAGAAACCGCGACACGTTATCACCTTCGACTCTCTCGCGCGAATATACTTATGCGAGAATATGCGACTGCGAATGGGTCTGCTCGTAGCTCTCTGTCCTCTTATTGCGCGAGTCGACCAGCCAGAGGCGAAGGACCGTTAGCGACACCTCATTCACACGCACGTGCACCGTGTAAATTTCTGAAAGAGATCGGAAAGACCGGCTGACGGGACGTTTGGGGTGAGTCTTTTTTTTTGAGAGAGAAAAACTACACCATTTATTTTTTCGATCGATCTTCCTTTAACTACAACGATGAAGATTTATCTTCCTTTAACTAGAAAGTTCGAACGATGAAAATTAGCTGAAGAACTTTCAGAGTAGACGTTATATTTTTTTATGTTTTTAAGAATTATGTTTATATCTTTCTATTGTTAGTTTTAGTGTGAAATGAATATGTAAATATGTAAAAGGGTTAATCAGAAGAGTCAAAATTAGGTGAAGAACTTCCAATCCAGAGATCGACTATTTATCCAAAAATCTTCTCTACTTTTTGTTCCAGGTACCGGAAGCAAAGCGAAGCTACTCATCGTACGAATCGCCGTGAGAACCAAAGTTCTGTTCGCGCGGAAGCGTCGATAAACAAGCCTCCGTCTCGAGTGCGACGATAACGTCGAAGAAGGGACGGCATTAAGATCGTCCGCGCGAATCGAACAGCGGAAGAGAGAGGCTGGAAGAAAAAAGGAACGTAAACACTGACAAAAGCGACATGAGAATTAATGCAGAAAGCGAGGGAGGGAACACGCCAGCGGGGGCGTTTGGGGGAGGGGGGATATAACGAGAGGCAGAGAGAGAACCGCGCGCACATGTGGCCGAAGAGAAGTTTTGTCGTCGATATCTTCTCTCGTCTCACGATGACAAAGATTCCGCGGATGGGAATGGGTTCAATGAATCCGTCCTCCGTGCTTGTATTTTGGCGCGTCGTGAAACGGCCGGTTGACATCGGGGCATTTTAAAAATAATCGCGCGCTGTTCGTACGGCGAAGGGTTAGACGGGCGCCTCGAGGCGAGACGTGCCCGACTTCTCGATCTTCACTTTTCATCTTTTCGAATCTGTCGTCTCTGGGAATAGTTTTCGCGAATGCAGCATTGGATTGGGAAGGGGAATTATTTGTAGCGTGGACCAGAGTTAGGGAAGAATTTTATTCGACTAATAGATAGGACACAGATGCAGTAAGGTAAATCCTCGATGAGTGTTCGAAGACTCGGCATTGAAAAGGAGAGGTTCCCTGATGTAAGGAGATGTGATAATTTCTTGCAACAGATTATACAGATTGTTCGTAAACCAGAGTGGATAGAATTTTAGTCGAATAATCGATACTGGAAAGCGACATAATCTAAGAACGTTATTTTGAGCTTTGAACAGTTGTCAGTGAGATTAAATAATTGTTTGCCAAATGTCGAGTCACTCAAGAAGAAGAATTATTTTATTAGAAAACTTATACCGATCAGAATATTCAAACTCGTTTTCCCTAAATCGTGATTTTTCAGTTATGTCGTTATTGCAACCACCGAGCGGTATAATACACAAGTAGGTTTCTACTTAATATCGAATAATTTTAATCCGAGAGAAAGAAAGTTTTATTTACAGTTTTCATTAGAAGAAGATTCGACTGACTTAAGAAGATCTAGAATTTCAACCTACTGAAGAAGAGAATTTAAATCCAGAAATTTGGATCGCGACACTATTCAAAATGGTACTAAACTGAGTTTCCTCTTACAAGTAAGAATATGTAAGAAATTCTGAATTGACCTCTGACACGAGATCCATTGTATTACCTCATATTTTTAATACGAGAGTATGTAATATTTATTCACAATTTCATTACAGTTGCTTTTGGATCGATACACTATTCGGAAAAGTACTGAACTGAGTTTCCTCTTCCAAGTAAGAATATGCAAGAAATTCTGAATTGACCTCTATGACACATAACTATTATATCACGCATAATTGTTTCAGGTGGAAAGATTACCTTGCACTGCATCGAGGAAGGGATTTCCAACGACGAGGACCGCGAGCGTCGTCGTCAGGAGTCCGACAAGCATCATCGTTGCGAACACCGTAGGCGTTCACCAGGTCCCCGGTTGAATCGTGATCACCGGTCGCATCGGTTCGTTGGCCGTTCCGTGAACAAATTTCAAACGTCGAACTGAATAGTGCATACGTATAATATCTCTATACCACGGCTATTCTACGTGTAACGAGAGAGGATCGTGTGCGTTCGCATGTCGGCGGAAGAAGGTGACGGAACTCGGCGCGAAAACGAAGCGCAGTGGAGCGCGGTCCGCGAGCGACTGGAGCTTTCGGTGGCACTTGCGGGCTCGAGGCTCTTTGGTAAGCTTTTTACATCGGTCTAGTGAGCGAGAGGAAGAAGAAGACGGACTGGGAGAACGGGCGAATGGACGAACGAGAGAGAGAAAGTGACAGAGTGGGGGGAAGAGACAGTGGGACAGAGAGTGACCGAGGGATTGCGTGTGGGAGGAGGGAAAAGACGCGTGGCGCGTTGTCACGCAGTGCAACTGCTATTGTGACATCTTCGAGCTGTACCCACACACGGTTCTCCGTGTATGTCCCTTTTTTTTTTTTGCCCCACGTATTTCTTGCTCCGTTCTCTCTTCCGTTTCATCCTCGCGACACACTACCGTACTCAAGATTCCACGGAGGAATTTCGCGCGTGCGAACTTATCATAATTCTGTCCGTTCCATGGTGTTCTAGATAGAAAATAATTGTTCATTAACTACACTGCTCGAAATTTCTATAGTCATCATGTTTTGTTGATGAATTCTTATAATTATTCCGGACCAATGAAAAATTTGTGTTTGGAGCGTTTCGGGATTGATTAAAGAAAGCTTGCACATAGGTTTGAAGGAATATATGTAACATAGCATTTATTTTTACTAAAAAATATTAAAATTAGCATCTATCTAGCGTTTATTTTTATTAGACATAAATTTCAAAATAAGGATCAATTTCAATAATTATGAACACAATTTATTATATACATACAATTCACAAGCTAACATGACAATTAAAAAGTAATATGAAATCATAACAGTACATGACATAAATTAAGAAGTTGCAATAGAAAAAAATACAGAATTGAAGAATGAAAATAAAAAGAAATATAACATTAATTTAAAATTTATTAAAACTAAGCATAGAACATGTTCAGTCAAAATGACGGGAACAAATAAGGAATGTCGTTAAAGTACGGTATATATTTGAATTATTTCGAAACGAATAGTTTCACAAAAAAAAAAAATAGACTACTTATTGGTACACCTAATACTAGGCAGGATAGATTTTGTAGACTGATGCCCGGAGCACTGATAAATCTGACGAAGGAGATGCCTCTTTGCTTGGTGCACGGGTTAACAGCCCACATTCCACCACCGAAGATGCTGATAACCCGCGGTTGTACTTCCTCTGATAGCGATTTAATGTATCACGAGCGTACGAGATATTCCGAACCGATATTATTTGAAGTAACGTTCGATGGGTGGTGGACTATCTTCGGAGCATGTCGGGGGTATCGTTGACCTTATTGACGTTGGTCGATTGTCACGTTCAGAATAAGACGATATATGTACTTCGTCACAGCATCCTGAGTACGTAGCATCGTACAGAAAACGAGCGAGATCAAGTTCGTACGGCGCGTGGGCTGTGAAAGCTAATCGAATTTGTGAAACGTGATATCCGCCGTCGAGGTACCGGCAAATTGGGAAGTCTAAGGTTACCCTACAGTATAGAGTACGGTCCAGCTTCTGGGTGTCGTTTGAGAATTTCTTCGATTCGACACCCTTCGAATCGAATCGTCTTGATTACGTGTCCAAATATCTCGCGTTGACAATCCACTCGATTGTAAGTAATTTATTAATTTATTAATTTATTCGGTCGATAGACCTCAATCTGCACGTAGGCTGCGGATGGATCGTCCCTTTCTGTCGTTTCCTCTGTGTCTTTATCCACTTTTCTCCCCTCGTTCGTCTCCTTAGAGCAACGCTCGTTATTTCATCGTGGATATGCGCATATCCGATGTGCCATCGACCGTCATTCCCGATAACAATTTCATCGTCGGTAATCACACGATGCGCGCTCGTTGTGAAATTATTATATCCCAAAGACGATTCCCGCGGCCTTGAAACGGAAAATGCGAAAGCTCGACGGTGAAAATTCGTTATTAAGGTAACAAGAACAAGCGAACAGTCGGGGGAAAGGGTGGCGAACCAGTTTTCATCTGAACGTCGATAAATACGCTCGATCTTTCACGTGAATGTGTACCGGTTCAGACTGTATCATCACCGTTGTGTGTGTATGTTCACCATAAATACCATTATTAATGTAACACGCCGTGCACGGTGACTAATTTGCAAAATGAACGGTTGATGGCACACTATCTAGCGATGCCTACGAGCCAATCGGACCTTTGACATTAACAAAGACATTCGACCGTGGGTATAGGCACACGAGCGAAATCTGCGCTCTAAAATTCATCTTCGAGTGGTACACGGATCGCATCTGGCGAATGCTATCGTTGATGTTTTATGGGCGATTAGTGATAGGAGAATGAAGGCTTTTCATCCTCGAGTTATGTAATCGTTGATGGTTCAGAGGTGTTATGCTCGCCAAGCGATCTAGAAATCTTGCGATGTTTTCCGACAGGGTAAGATCGTCGCAGAAACGGTTCTGCTGCGCGGACTTCGCTCGACCCGGCCTTAACTCACTTAAGTAGTCACAATGGTTATTAATTATCCAGAGCAGGGGATCGTTTAACCGTACGGCGTTGTCTGCATTCAACGATCAGAATTTGAGCAATATGAACACTGATTTTCTCTGCCATCTGATCTTCTCAACCAATAACTTGGCACACAACAGTTCTTATAACTCCAGAATTGTCGGTAAATTTATCGAAATCCTCAAGTTTTTCTTGCACTTTTACTGTTGTTACAAAAAATATGATTATTTCATCCGAAATAGGTACATATATAAAGGAAATGAAAAAAAAGAGTTTTTAAATGCACAGTCACAGTGCCATACTATTTACCCAAGACTAGACAAATACACGATACTAATACAGTGGGTGATCGGTTAACGAACATTTCCATAAATTTTTATGGGAATTTGATTCGTTCGGGAAATCCAAAAAATAAATAAAAATTATTGTTAATACTACGTTTATTATCCGATTTGTTCGCTGTCCAAAGTGTTCGTTAATCTATTACCCATTGTACTTTATTTCGTAATTTCGAATACCTAGCCATACGGTAACATTGTAAACGAAACGGTTAAATAGCATTTCTTTTATTTCTGTCTGGCTAAGTAAAAAAGTTTCCTCGACTCGGCAAGAACCGAGAATTTCTTTCGATCCTCGTGGTGAACGCGAGGAGGTGTTGATCGTTGATATAAATTCATCGGCGATTTACTTTCTATGCATGCACGGTTCAAGTATTTGCCTCACGCACCCTTCGACCAGTCAGAGAGGAAGAAGGGGGAGGGACTGAGTTACCAAGGGTAGGGGGAGGGGGGGGGGGGGGGAAAGACCAAATAGTTCTGTGAACGTCGCATCCTCCGTCAATCGTCGGCTGCATGTCAATGAACCGAGCGATCGAGCAACGGCAGAAAATTGCGGGCCAAGAGCTCTTCGTAGATTGTCTCCGTTGGCGCGTGCATCGCCGGGAAATCGAGTTTCTCGCGTAAATTTGTCCGACGCGGCTCCATCGTGCCAGAGGAATGTCCATTGTCAACCATGATCTGCATTCGCAATGGCCCGCCTCCGCCTTCCCCGTTACATTCCGCCCTGTCCTGATGACTGCGCGCCACGTAGTTTCTAACTTTTCTTTTGTTTATACTTGAAAGTTTGAATGGTCCCTGGTTTGTAACGGTAATTGTTACTGATACTGTAGAATAAGGCAATTTTTGGGACTTTTTTAAAGAAAAACTATTGAACTTATCAATTTGATTAATATATATATTTGTTAAATAATATTTGTAAAGTATGCTATATTTTTGTAAAGTAAAAACAATGTATTTTTTAAAAGTTACAGTTCGTTTGTGAGAGCATCTTAACGAAATTTCTTTTCCATGGTGGCCATAGTATAGACTCTTGTGGTTGTGTGAAATAAAAGAAACATTATTGGAACAGTATTGGAACGAATTGTACGTTGTTTTTGGGACTATAAAGTACCATTTAAGACGAAAAAAATGTTCGATTTTTAGAAACTTCAGATTATTTCGCATTTGATCATACAGGGAGGACATTACTCTCAAATGGGTTAAACTTAATTTTTTTTTTCCGTTCAACAGATCATTTACGATCTTATTGTTTATTCATTTTTAGAGACAAGGAACTGTGGACCAGTCAACGATGAAAAAGGTGTACACAAGCGGCCGATTGCAGCCATGACAGACATTAACCCGTGTCGATGCTAGCTTGCGTTCTGCAATTTCGATGAATAACAGCCGATCCTCTTCGCCGGCTTGTCATTATGGAAAACCATCGTCCACGAAGGGACAATAGAAGCGCAACGATCGAAATTGGAACGCAACGAGGCGGGAATGACTGCGCCTCGAGAAATTAGACGTTGCGGACTTTCCACGAAGTCACAACTGGGGGAAGAAGAGAAAACGTTTCTGCTTCGAAAGGTCAACCGGGACGCACGGTGTGGAGTGATTACACGTAAAAGCGCAACGACGGTATTCCGTGGGCATTGAAACGAATTTCCTTGGATCACAGAGGCCTTCTTGCCAAGTACAAGATTCCTCGATAGCTTCGATTTTAGTTGCCTTGGGTAATAACCTCAGTGTTTATACAGTCCAGCCTGTTAGCGTAAACCGGCCAGAAAAGGCGGCCTCTTGTAACCCGGAAACGGTACGACGGCGGCTATCATAAATAAGATTCAAATAATCTGGAGTCTGCGCAGCTAAATGCGCCTTCCATTGAGCGCATTGTCATCGCGGCCTGATATATGCGTTATTTGTTCTCTCGCGAAATTCACGTAGAAGTTCGCGCCACGAGAAGAACCGTGGTCGCGTCTGTTCCGCTTGAGATCCAGGCGAACTGTACCCAGATTAGGTAGTTTTTGCATAAAGTCAACTCAAGGCTAGGGGGCTGCAGCCCCGGGCTCTACTTTCTAGGAGGGCCTCGATCCTTTCCATTTAGGTAAAAAAATAATTCAATGAAATTTTGTTTACGGCTACCCTTTTGAAATAATTAGAAATCAGACTAAATGTAGAAATAAATCGGGCCAAATTTATTAGAATACAATAACGAAGAATTGATCGTTATAATCAAGCGTTCGTTATGATTAAATATTATTTAGTTTTACTTGGAGTATATTACAATTTTTTAAGATTTATGAACTTTACTACATCTTTTCTGATAAACGTTTTTTGGTTTGATAGCTACAGGCCCCAAAGATCTTGTTACGGACTTCAAAAATCTTAATCCGGGCCGGCATAATGTTTTTGTTTGAAAAACGAAGTGAAACGAAGGAATACAATGTATAATTGGACCAAGTTATGCAGAAAGCTAGCTACCCTGAATGATCTGAAACGAAGTTTTAGTTTGAAGATTTTTATTTTAAAAAAAGTAAGTATTTACTTCTATCGGGTGTATTTTATTTCTATAGTTGTTTTACAGTGTTTTCTAATGGCTTATTTGATAGTGAGTATTGGCAGTTTTAATAATTGACAATATTATAATTGCAAGAGTTGTTCTATGGGTTGGTAATTTTTTGCAAAATAAAGGTCACAAAATTTGGGATCCGTACTGTGTTTACCTAATTCTTTGTCATTTTTAGGGTTGGTAGGTCTCTACATAACTTGACCCATTTTGAAGTCCAAGGACAGGCTGAACCCAAAATTATGTACCAGATCAAAAGCCTAGGTGAAAGAATCGAGTCAAACGGCAAGAATGATCACCCTCCTTCCACCCCTTGTACTCGTTATCGCCGGTTCTTTAAGCGGAGGGTCGAGGATGAAATCAAACGGAAGACTGACGGGCCAAATGCTACGAGGTAAAAGCTTACCGACCGCGTGCCGTGGATGGGTTGTCGAGAGGGGTGGCCGCGACGGTAGCGCCTTCGGCAAGGTCCGCTGTACACAAGCGCAACCAAAGGGAGAGAGACAGTGACGGCGGTGGAGGGTCGCGACACGGTGTGGGGTGGCGGAACGTGAAACTCTTGTCCGCGAAAAAGTGTCGGGGTGGATCGGCGGCTGTCCATATGGAGGCAAACGAGGCGCCGTGTTAGGCACCCCGGCCTGCACGGACGCCTAACTGTGTGTCCGCGTTGTAAAGTGTCGTCAAACAAACAACAACAAAAATAAAAATAAAAAACAAAACGTCACATTCTGGCTCATATACACATATAGGAGAGCCTGATTAAATTCGGTGAGTGTGACGAGGAATGTCATGGAAGAGTTTTCCGATACGCGAGTTAAAAAGTGCACACGGGGGGCCAGCTAAATGGGTCAACCCAACCCCAGCAACCCGATGAATGTGTGTGCACACTCCGTTTCTGTTCTCCGAATCGCTGGTTGGCCTAGTTTATCGGAGGGCGAGCGAGAGAAAAGTACCACGCGACCACCGTCTACGAGGAGACGGGAATGATATTGAAAAAGAGCACCACATGCACGGTTACTAATTCCCCTTTCCGTGTTGGTTCTGTCTGTTCCGTTGTGGCTGGTCTCGTACGTAACACGGTTCTGAACGATCGAAGTTTCTTTGGTCGAGAAGAGTAATAATCATGAGATCCTCTCGTCGACGGGAAACGCATTGATTGACTCGCGCGGCCGCGATACCTTGTCGAGACTGCGGGGCGACGAGAGAAAGAGAGAGAGTGAGTCCGAAGGAGGTGAGAGAGGTCGCCGTTGCATTTCCTCGTTATATACACGCGGAACGTGGCGCACCCCGTGCTTTTCGGGGGACCATCTTCCATTCCCGGTGACACGATTGCAACACGGATAAGCCAGCAGCGTGATAAATGAAAATCCACGTTGTATGCATCCGGGAAACGATTCACCCATGCGTTTCCTTTTATCTCTGTGAACGTTTCACGAATTGTTCGGCGATACATGCGTTCGCGTAATGCCGTGAAGGGTGGTATATCGCGGACACTTCCACGCGACCCTGACTTCAATTATCGATTCTTCGAAGAAGAATATAACGGCGATGCAATTTTCGATGCATTCATACGGGTAGCTTCGTTTGGGCCAGCTGATTTTCCTTGTTTTGCACTTTTTTTACTCGAGAAAACGATGTACACAGTGATATGCGACTATGCACTTCTTACGGATGTGCAATGCACTAGTTATGTCGTTTAAATATATTACTATTTCATCGATGTTTCCTTTTTTTTTGTTTGTTTGTTGTTTGAAAAGTTCCATATTGCGAGACTTCGTTTTCGTCTTGATTGGATTATCGCCATCCGGTTTGGTGCATGTGCAAATCTAATAATGTGCATTTCCGTTCCCATTATATAGGTAGCAAGTGTTGATTGTATGTAACAAAAATGGCGGCCAGCAAACCACCTGAAATGAATTACACGTGCGAAATTTGCGGCCTGGAGGGCTTCAACGACGAAGAGATGAGATCTCACATGGTGTTCTATCATCTTCAGGGCGCTGCGAATTGTCCGTTTTGTGATTTGGGGGAGATTTCGCCGACGGAAATGTTGGTGCATGTTAACAGTGCTCATCTGGATTATTTAACGCCAAGGTATATTCTATTTAGTCAATTATACGATCGGTTGCATTCTTCGTATGACTGGTCTCTTTAAGAATTTAAATTATAATGATAACCTGAAAAATGGCGGCAAAGAAGACTTAGATGTCGCTATCTTTGTACACCTTACAATGTTTGTTATTCTTGAACAGATGCCTTATTGGCAACAATACTATTTGATTGAATGAATTATTTATATTTTAGTGTACAGAAATAAGTTAACATTTAAATATTGAACAAGAAATATTGATTATATCGATAATTTTTGGTATTTTTATTTGGAAACTGTAGCTAATTTATATATTATACAAGTTATAAGAAGCACTTGCTATTGAATTGTTATTGCAGAGAAATTATTTGGTATTTGTTAAATGAAAAGTACAAAAAAAAGCAGAAGGAAGTTACTCTGGATTATAATGGAACTGCATTCTATAAAGATACACATATTTTTGTGATAATTGAAATATAAGTAATTGATTATTGCTTCAATTAGTTGAAATTATTTGCATAGAAAATGATAAAGAGTCACAAACGAAAAGCTGAATGTGAATTAACTGTTTTCAATGAAAAGTAATAAATCTTCAGCTTATCTTTATACAGATGTTTTTAAACTTTTTAAATGTTTATGTTTAATAATACTTACTGTTTTTTCTTATTGCAGCACTCCAGAAAATGATATGATGGCATTTATCGACGATGATTCATTAGTTGATGATCACAGGCATGATGAATGCCGTGGTCCTTCCCCATCCATGTCTCTACGTCCACCACTTTTACAAAATGGGTGGAGCAGCTCATCCAGTCCACGTGTTAAACCACAACCAGAACCATCAAAGTCGGAGCCACATCATTCTAGTTCTAATGTGAATAATAACAATAATAATAACAACACTGGGAATGTTAATAATGGTATCAAGAAGTTTAATAGACTATCATACATTGATACCTAAGAATACATGAAATAACCAATGGTTTTACTTCAGTAATAGAAGGTGCAGCTGGTCACGGTTCTCCACTACGTTCAGGCCTAAATCTACAGTTGCGTTCTCATGCTTCACCAAAACTTCCAGTTCAAGAGTGTCCTATGTGCCCCTATAGTTCTGACAGTCCGTTGAGGCTAGAAGAGCATATCAATAGACAACATTTTGATCTCACTTCACCGTCGTTTCCACCTGAATCTCCACCGTCTCGAGATGGTATCTTCAACTGTCCCCTGTGCATCACATCGTTTCCAAATTCTTCTGATCTTGAGCTACACGTCAACATAGAGCACAAAGATATTTTGAGGTACAACTGAATTTATATATACATACTATTACCAATAACAGACTGTGCTATATGATATATTTACTTTATACAGCCCTGCAAATGGTGCAGCTTCTCAATCTGACCTGGCAACCGTTGGCAGTGACACTCCGGCGTGTCCAGTTTGTTTTAGTACTTCATTTAAAACCAGTGATGAGTTGACTGCACACATCGAAGAACACTTTAGCAAAAAGAGTACCCCGTCTCCCATAACTCCAGACTTGTCGACCGATAGATTGTTGGCAAAAGACATGGAAAGGCGCGAGAAAGAGGTTCGAAAGTTACGAGAACAACGTGAATTTGAATTGTTAAGAGCGCAGTATGGTATGGACAATCAGGGCAATTTTAGAGAACAAAGTGTCACTAATATGCAGCGGGCTGTGTATTCGGGTGAAATGACGATTGCTGATTATTATGAAAGGCAAAGTGAACTCAGAGTAGCCGAGAGTAGTGGTATTGATGATGGCAGCTCCTGTACACGCGGTAAGACGATTTTTCCAACGATTTTTCTCTGTTATTGGAAAATGCTTATCTACTATTATTTCAATCTCTTGTAGGACTAGTCTCAAAGATACGAGCTGTCAGCCAAGCATGTAGTAATGTGTTGAGCACCTGGATGTGTTCCACTGTAGATCATTATGCGACTACTTATGGAGACAAGGGTTGGGGATGTGGATATAGAAATTTACAAATGTTAATTTCGTCGCTTTTACAACATACAGGGTACAATGAGTTAGTGTATAAAGCGTGGAGCTCAGGCCTGGGTAGTGGTAGTTCTACTAAAAATCCGCTTCGAAGTTCTATACCATCTATCTCTAGACTTCAGAAAATGATAGAATGGGCTTGGGCCCAGGGTTTTGATACTCAAGGAGCGGAACAGCTAGGCGGTAAATTGGTGAACACTAGAAAATGGATTGGTCCCACCGAAGTAGTTATACTGTTGTCTAGTTTGAGAATAAAGTATGTATTATAATGACTGTGACTTTGGCACAGAAGCATCTCGTATAATAATCTGTTTCAATGTGTAGATGTCAGCTGGTAGATTTTTATAGACCAACTAATGCTGACGGTGGACATCCGGAGATGTTTAATTGGGTTTTACAATATTTCCAACGGTGTGACGACTTCAAGCCACCTCTCTATCTACAACACCAAGGTAAATATTCGGTTGACGGTGGAACAATTGGAATTACATTTTTTATGAAAATTTTGTTCGTCTGTTTACAGGTCATAGTAGAACAATAATAGGAGTAGAACAATTAAGGGATGGTTCAATAACTATGTTAGTACTTGATCCAAGCCATAGTCCAGCACAAATGGCACAGTTTAATAGTACAAGTAGTGCACTCGGTGCAATGCGTTTGGTACGAAAATCGATCGCCGCGATGAAAGCGAGGCAGTATCAAGTCGTTGCTGTTACCGGTATCATGGAAACCGAAATAGAGTATCAAGTAAGAAACTTCTGCACGTTTCTTATGTGTTAATTAAATTGTTTACGCAGCGTTTCTGTCTAATGTATAAACGATGATGTTTGAACGTTTTTCAGCAAAGCAAAGTATTACGTTTGATTCGCGTACCCCAAGATAGGTGAGATTTGCTGACCCGAAAAGGAGTTAAATCTTGTGGAAAGACGATAGACTGCCTCAAACCAATTTTGTCCAGCATCCTTAAAGTTACGTGACCGCAATGTTCTAGGTTTTATCATTAGGAGAATTTGCTCCACTGTAGTAATTGCAGAAATATTATTTAAACAATATATTCTTGCATCTCTTAGCCGTCATAAATCGACTGGCTCCTCGAATTGTGTACATCCTAAGCCTGCGTCGCGGTTCAGAGTTTTGGAGCTGAAAAACGAATGGAAAATCTATAAAAAATTGTAATTTCTAAAGAAGTGTCTGTATGTCGCGCGTATTGATCTTCTTTTTTTAAAACCGTACTCGGCTCTGGAAATATTATATTACGATGCGTGCTTGGGGAAGAATGTTTCAGTGATGGAGTATCTAACGGATAGAATTAATTCGAACGCCATTTCTTGTCCACAATGTTCTGCTCAATTTTCGTCGCACCGAACAGGCTGTGCTAATTTTTAGTCGACCAATCGTCCTACGCCAGTCGGTTGCATCAGCGAAAAAAGCCATGGCAGACCTTGGAAAACGAGACTCTTTCGTAGCTGTGATGCTGTTATCGATTTTACGCTAATCAATCACCGATTATAAATATTTTTGAAGGCACTCCATACGGTCGATACATTACAGAAAGCAACATTGTCCGCGCTTATCTTCTCTCACCTGTACTCTACATTTTTAATAAACTTTGTTGTCAAAATGTTGTCAATTTTTAGTCACTAAAAGATACCAATATTAATACGACGCGCACTACAATAAAAATTTTATATACTGTTACAAGCACGTTATTCACTGATATATTTTTATTATAGTTGCTTTTAATCATTTTTGGGGTGTCTACAAGAATGAATGATATATATTTCCATATATTATACATATGTTTATCTATATATATACACATACACACATACTTGCACACTCTTTGTTACATTACATTTCACTCACTCATACATAAAGTACAACTACTTTCATACTAATTATAAATACTCTATTTAATTATTCAATTAATTTAAGGCTACCCATACATTAGCTTGTAAGTTCAATGCAATGCTGTGACCGAAAAGAAGAAAAAAGAAGTAACTACAGTCCATTTACTTGTTACTTATATTATACATATAAAAAAGTTGTAATTTAGTAAATGATTATTATTATTATCATTATTATATGTATTATCTCTTACAAATTGTACTGACATATGTATGTATAAGATCTATTTATTCTAGTTAAAGATGTTTGAGACGATTGGAATGTTTGATGTTAATTTTTATGAAAATGTTATACTATTATTTTATAGCTTTGATAAATTAAGCACTAATCTGAGAAAAAATTTGTCTTTCTGCTCAGTAGGACCAGATGCAATAATTATGACTGACAGCAAAGATATACGATAATTATACTTGTATTGGATTTTGCTGTGTGCAGATTAAGAATACTTTCATCATTTTGGAGTGTTCAGGCAAATCAAGCTGTGGAATTGTTATGCAAGTGTAAAATAACAACTTCGTATTAACCACATGTCAAATTAAAATATATGCTTTGTTAGAATTCCCAATTTGTGAGTAATTGTTTTGTATTAAATTTGAAACAAATATGTTAATATCCTAAATCAAACTACTTTGACCTTTTTAACACATAAGTTTACATACTTGCATACAAAATTTGAAATAACTACACGTTTGATATAAATCAAATAATATATTTATTTCTTAACTGAAGAGGTAATCCAAATATTATCTTCATGTTGATAAGTATTAAATTGATTACATTAAGTAATTTAAATACCTTAATAAATGTTTATAACCTGAGCAGTTATTAATACTAATTATCAGCTAAAAAAATGTATATGTTAATCTTATATGTTAAATCCCAGTGACCGCATACAGGCTTTATGCGCTTCTATTAAATGTTGACAGTGTTCTTCGCCTTTGGTAATAATGCTGAAAAATTAAATGTTCAATGCCAATTAATATGAAATACATGAGACTAAACAAGGTTATGTGATAAGATACAGAAGAAAATCAATTATTCCAACGTGACAGTTATTCGGTTTGCTGTAGAACGTTACTAAAGAATTTTCTTAGTAATTACTGTTACATGTCATGAGTTACTACTGTTTTAAAAATGCGAAACGTAAGTGTTCAATTGTCGACATACCATTCATCCCTGATTTTTTTTGTTTCGGGACAGGCACAACAAGGCTTCAGTGGCTTGTCGGATTTTTGTGCTTCTACAGATACTGCTTTTACTGGGGTCAACTTTTCATTCGCGTTACCCATTATGATTTTAGAAAAATTCAATTTAATACTGTACAAATAGAATCAAAGAAAAATTCACATCAATTCACATGTGTCCATATATTTCCAACTATTACAAGCGCCTCCAAGCGGTGAATTTTAACAAAATTCAAAAAATTGGACTGAATCACAAACGAAATATATGAATAAATCTGTCATCTAATGCTTTTTTGTGGCCAGATTTTGTGGGATACCAACCAGATGAGATATGAGAATATAAATATCTTATATGTATCTCGTATGTGGTCCTAGGACCAAATTAGTTTGGTATCAATATCCGACGTTAACATTTGCAAATGCGTTTTCTTCATTTTCTGCATAAAGAAAAACTTCATTAATTTAATACTTCTAAAGAAAAGCCTTCATCTATTATTTAATTGGTAATATCAGACTGATAATATCTGTAAGATTGTATTGCATAAACTTTGGCGCTATTGCTAAGTTGACGGGATGTATTTATCGCAGATGGCGCTAGAGAACCATCGCAGAATATGCAGGTTTCAAACTTCGAAAAGACGACAGTAAAATTAATATTTCCCATATAAAACGAATTGTAATGTTAAATTGTCAGCAACAGTGTGTTCGTCTGTTTTTCCGTGGTATGAGAGGTTATATTTCCATTTAAGTTAATCTCGGGAACACGTAAGAAAAATGTATTGAAATATAATTCGGTGGTAAATATTCTATTTCATAAAAATAACAATTGGCGCGAAGAAGGAGAGGACCAATCCTGGCATTCCTCACACCGATCCACCAATCATACCCAGTCATGGACAGCCTAACGGTCATTCGTCTCAAGGAAGCTGGAGTGATTAGACGTGAAGTGATCTCGCTCGTGGCGAAGTAAGTATTATAACTTTTCACTTTCAATTATTTATGCCGTTAGTATCTACGTTAGCACTCTGTCGTTACTTTCGTTCAGTATCTATTCAATTCGGTGTAAATAATCGTAAATTAACTCGGTATTGCTGGATAAAGTGAACTGGTTTCAAGATTTCTATTCTCCCCCCGATACCCATTAGTATTTATGCTGGTTTTGTTCAATTTACAATCTTTGATAACACTCTTCGAGTTAATAACTCTTTCATTGTGACTCAGTCATGGTTAATTTAACATAATTACTTGGTATTAACGTTTATTTTCCGTTTCAGAATTCCGACAAGAAAGAACGCGCCACCGACGCCATGCCAATGGAGTCTCTGATTAGACGCAATTTGGCGGGAAATTGGCGAAGTCTGGTAATATGTTATAACAAGTACGTTACACTCTATTGCATATTTTAATTTTATTACGTTTTGATTGTTTTGACCGTAAGCATGATCATGATTTCATGATTAACCGTGTTGAAATCGAACAAGAATTCTTTCGAAAAATATTTCACAGTCAAATGCATAATTGATGCATTCAATATGGCTTCCTTGGCAGTTAGAAAATTTAAACGACAATACTTCCAGACATTCAAAATGGAAACACTAGTTGAATATTTTTTAAACTATTATATCTCTGCGTAGTTAAACTAACATTTGCATTTTCATCATATAGCAGTCTTTTTTGGAGACAAACATTTGATAGAATATAAAAACAGAAAGGATAGGCCGGTGTACGTGTGCTTATTGTATTTCTTTCACCTCCTTTCTTTTGCAGAGTATTTGGTGGCTGCACGCAAGGCGGCGGGCCGAGTCAGTGTTTGTTTACATCGAAGTTTTTTCTGTTTGTGCGGAGCGAACTGGCTCCCAGTAGAATCTCACCGGAGATGTTAGGTCCTTCCGAAAGTAGAGTCAGTGTTTGTTGCGTACAATCAATTACTTGCAGAGTGTCGGCACTCTTTGCATTTTCAGTCGCGAAATTAGAGTCATTTGTTCGCCGGCTGGGATCTTCGGTCGCGATAGTCTTTATTATTTTTATTAATTATTAAGTTTTTATTAAGTTTTTTTCTACCTGAAAGTGCTCGTTCGGAAAAGTAGAGTCAGTGCATCACTGAAGAGGATGTTTTTGGGCGAAGTTCTACAAATAGAGATTGTAAGTATCTTTATGTTTTATTACTTACACTGTTCAACTGAAACAGCTACAATTTTCAGAGGAGGTTATAATGTATTCTGTTCCTTTTTTCAGATTTATCAGATGCTGTATTAACGACCACTGCAGACGATGTCCTTGGACGAAGCTACACCATTTTTCGAGATTCTTCGAGTTTTTTTGGGTGCTCTTCAATCATCGGGTGAGTGCATGTTTTTATTCCTCCAGTCCTCAATCATGTCGTAGGACGATTGGTCCGAAGCGGCACGGGCGACTGGTTGTATACGTGCTTTTGGCGAGTACAGTGAACGCGGATCTGCAATCGTATGATTGTATATCCGCAAGTAGTATTTGATCTGTTATGTTTCTTAGTTAGGCTAGGGTCTTCTTCTACGCCGCGTTTATTATTAGTAACATAATTCATAAATATTTTGTACAAAAAGTATATTTATGAGTTACATATTCAATGTTCGGTATAGAAGCGAACATGATGCAAACGAAATCACATTGCATGTGATGCATTTTTTCTAATGGTTCAATTTAATACGAGATCTTGATATTCCAAGACGAAGCTATTATTTAAATAATTGTTATTTTTTTATTAATTGAGTATATGTCGTGGTAGTACGTTGTTCGTTTCACTAGAAAATGCAGTAATTTGAATATGATGTGTACAATAATTTCACAGTAGTCACTTCAGTGTACTCATTTCAATATATTAGTCAGATATCATTTATGAATATAGAATGAAATAGCTCTACATAGAGAAAATGAAATAATAGAATAACATAAATAGAAATACATCAGAAAATTCGCAATGGCCTATAAATAACGGTCAGCTGATAAAAAAAAATAATATCCAAATTATTAATGTGAAGTAAATATCAACGGTAGATTCGAATATAGAGTAGAAAGAACGGAAACCACACTGGTATGTTTAAAATAGAGGGGAAAACGTAGTGGTGCCTTCTCGATACGCATGTTATAGCAGTTAGCGCAATACCACGAGACGCGACAGCACGTTTCAAATGCCGGAACCAGTGTCGCGAGACACAAAGGTATCATTCGTATTTGCAAGTTCCATGAAATAGTGGAACACGTGTACTGGGAATCGCGATAAAGTATCGGTGCATAAAAAGAAGACGTATTAAGTTATGTCACCTGTGCACCGATATGCACGCCCTAGTGAAAAACCGCGTGTTATGGAACAATTTAACACGTTGCGCATGTATGACCATTGAAAAGTGCATTGCGATTTCCAGTTATCGTGGCCGGTGTTTTCGTTGCCAATGGCAAAGAACACATCCGGTTACGTACACGGGTAGAGTACAGAGACGTACTGGCGTTTACTCACGACCACTTTAATGGAGTGTGAGCGTTAAATGCAGGGAAGGTACTACTGTGTTTCACCAGCATGTACAGTGTTCCACAAACATATTTGTATGGTAGACGTATATACTCAGAAGGAATGAGTATTTGTATTCTGTCCTTTAAAAAGGGCAGGCCCAGAGGTGTCCATCTACTACTCACGAGCAGCATTCTTCCCATCCAGAGGTACCCTCACTATGGGACTTGGATTGACTCGCTCGAGTCAATCTGAGGTCGATAGTCGGGGAAACCTACGAGGGGAAGCTTGTAATTGCTCGTAGCTCGTGGGTGGCATTTGGACACCTTTGGTATTAGAGTAAATTTTTATGATGGTTAGTATGTTAATCAAATTTTATTTCATCCGTTAGTGTGTTAATTATTATTATCAACAGTTATACCGTCATTTATGGACAAATAACGAAATGAATATAACTTAAATTTATTTACTATTTGAATACAGTAAATAATATATCAGTTTACTGTGAAGTAGTTTAAGATTAATATTTGTCTTCATTGATATTTTTAATAGAAATATGAATACTTGTGAAGCATCATTGGCAATATGCAATTGTAGATTAACAATTTCTACTGAATTATGCCAGAAATACGTATTACCACGTTGCTTGAAGACAGAAATAAGAATTAAGTTTTGTGTTTTGATACACATGGATTAAGCTAGACTGTAACGCTTTGGATAAGTATATTACAGACCATGTACAAGAAAGCATTTCGCGACGGGTAGATTTCTCAGTCAAAGTGACGTGTCTGTTACACTTATGTTATAAGTCTTATATTCGCTTTGACGACGGAATCGCCCGAGGATTGTTCAATATATAGAGTCATTTATATTATTACAGAATCTTGTTTAAAATCTTAATAATTAAATTCTACAATATTAATAAATATTCAATCTTTGCTTTTCAATTTTTATTAATACAAAGTCGAGTCACTTTTATTGCAAAATGAAATGAAAAAGAATAAAAGAGAAGTAGCCCGTTAGAAGAGCAAAAAGTAATAATTATTTTAGTTAGGATTTTCAGAATAATTATTCCGTGTTCGTTGCTCGAACCCTTTCACGTGCCCAGGTGCTACTTGGTTGGGCGAGAGCAACGGGGAACGATGACTTGATTTCATATAATAATAACATGTCTATGCGACTGGCAATGCGTTAGCTTACCGTGCACGACGTATTTTCCACTTATGTGTGTGTGTGTGATTAGGCAGTGGAATTGCGTCGTTTAGATTTCTATCAATTAACATTTCATCTATAATTGTTCCGTGGAACAATTTCGCACAATTTCCGGTATCGGTCGTACATATTCCTTTGCTTTATACAATGTTTATAATTAAATTTCCATGGAATATGTACCGGTTTATAGTATCTCGCTATCAGACGAGAAAATTAACGCGTAATCGATATAAAGTGTACCAAGTATACGTATATTGCTTAAACAATTTTTCTATTCTCGCAATGGATGCTAGCCTTTGCCAGTCGATTTCAGGAAAATGGTACGTACATTAGAGTGTGCAAGTTGAATATCACGTTCGGGTGTCGGAGGCGTCCCGGGACGTCCTCTCTAGGAGTTTTGCACCCGGGCGCATGCTTGAGAACCGTGGAGTGTTGTGTGTTGGTGAGAATCTGTCTTTTGCCAAATTCTTTTTAAATATAGGGCTAGGTAGGCAGGTAGCATACTTTCTGGTGTGTGAATGTGTGCGAGTAGACTGTAAGTAGGTAGGGGCCGGGGCAGGCTATCACATTCTCCGATGGGGTAGGCTCGCGTAGGCTCGCGTAGGTTTCGCGTGATAGTCCTGCTACCGGGATAATTTGTAGCGTCGATTCGAAACTGGTCCAGACGGAGCATGCTGTCTGCTTCCGATTTCGATTTCGATTCTTCAAATTCGGCGAACCCCAAGGGGGTCGTCGTCGCGGTCGCGGTCGGAAGGATAGGATTGTCGAAACGAACGACCTGCTCGATTGCACTCGTGGTACGATCATACAGACTCTTCGAGTCGTTGGTCGTCCACAACCGAGCAGCATTAGGGTTTCAGGGGGCGGACCGCCGAAGAAAAGAAGAGGCCCAGCACAAACTGTGTACTCAAGAGGGCAGCAACGAATGGCTCTGTATCTTCGGATGTGGAATCATTACTAAATATTTGTTCACTGTACTCGCCTGTAGTTGTAGTAGTAGTTTGTATATTGGCCGTCATATCGGCCCAAAGACCAGCAATATTGGGCAAAATCGCGGATTGAATTAGTGTTGCGGATGAGACTAGATCACGGGTTGCATTAGCTTTGTAAATTGTCAATATTAATCTTCCTAATTACTTGGAGAATAGTGTTGCGAATGATGAGATCGTGTTTGCGTTAAGATCATTTTTATATTTTCAGAGTAGTGTTGCGAATGATGAGATCGTGTTTGCATTAAAATCATGTCTTTATTTTCAGGGTAGTGTTGCGAAAATGACTGAGCGCGATTGCTTATTACTTTTTATTTAAGTCGTTTTCTTTTGTTGAATTAGTGTTGCGATATGAATTGATCGGTTTTTTTTTAATGTTGCGATCCATGAAATGCCCAAAACGACGCTGGAACCACACTAAACAAGGCAGCTGAAATAGCTGCAAAGTCTTGTTCACCACAGAAGACCTGAGCAATCAGTATTATTTACTACATAATACGAAACCATACTTACCTTTAAATTGGCTAATTATGTAGCAATTAATAATAAGCCAATTGTCTGCGAGCTGGTTAGTTTATTCAACAGATTCGTGTTCGTAATTCTTTTACTGGGTAGTTCCTTCACTAGAGACGAGATTTTGTCAGTGTCATTACCGACGAGATGCTAGATCCCAGACCTCGTTTGTGATTGAACTTTCGAATGTCTAACGTAATTTTGTGCTGTTGCAATTAGACTTTGAAATAAAGACTAATTTATAGATTTATTGGTGTTAAATTAAGGTATTGGTATATATATAGTTTTTTTGGAATTAGAATATATATAATTCATTAATTAAACATATAATTTCGAAGATGGCGGTGATACAGTCAAAATCGTTCTTACCGGTTGGTTGATTCTTTCAGTGGATAAGTATTCTTATGTCGATAAAGAGGTTTCGTCTTTATCCATAGAGGTCCTACGGTTTTGTCGATAAGAATGTTTCCTTTTTTTTTTACGTATCTTCACATAGAAATTGATTACACTTTTTGTCACTAGATGGCGACACCAGCGCAATATTTGTGCGCTAATTATGTATGTGCAAATTTAAAGGATTGCATAGTTAGATTGAAGTTAGTCTATAATTAATACATTTTATTTCCACAAGTGTTTATATCCTGCAAACTATAAATCTAGTCTGTATCCTAGTCTTCAAACTTCTGCTTATAAGGCAGTTAACAATGCAACATGTCAAAGGGATTTCGTAATCTCTTAATACAGTTATTATATTTATGTAACAATAGAAACTTTAAGTATATCTACTATTTACACCAATACAAAGTAGACAATAACAAAGCGTACATTGAAATGTTGTTCTTATTATAAGAAAAACTCTCCTAACACTCTTAATGTGTATACCACCAATAAACTAATTATCTAGATAGTATAGAATAACAAACAAAAGATAAACCAATAGCCTCAACTTTAAAAACAAGACAGTATTTCTTAGCTGCTATTTCTATTCGCATAAATGCAAAATATAACGGTGGTTTCCGTTTCAGAATTAAAACGATTCAATGTTTGTACTTCCTTCCCAATTTTACACATGAGAACAAAGAAACAAATGGATCATTTAGCCGTGTAATAGTTTGTCTTCACGAAAGGCATCTTCGTCACGGTAGCTTTGTACGTTTTCCCTCGAACTTCAACCAACACACCTCCACCGCATTGAGCCAGTTCTGGGGGCACGTATCCCATCGCGATCGGTCGTCCAAGGGTTGGACTCGGTCCACCGGATGTCACTTTGCCCACGCGTTCTCCTTCCGGCGTTAATATGGCCGCTCCTTCTCTGGCTGGTGGCCCGTTGCCCAACATCAAACCGATTCGTTTTTTGTTGCTGCCTGATTTTATTTGTGACAGTATCCTCTTAGCACCGGGAAAGTTTTCCTCTGCTCTTCTCCTTTTAGCTGAAATGAGATTATCAATTTCTTATGTTTTATTTATGTTTAATTTTTGTATGTTGTGGGTACGACCCATATTGCATTAATATTCTATCCACTAACCCACTAGCCAAGTAAGCCCAGCTTCAACAGGAGTGGTCTGCTCGTCGATATCGTGTCCGTACAAACACAAACCAGCCTCCAGTCTAAAAGAATCTCCATTAGATCACAATGTAAATATTTACAGACTGTCCACTATCAAAATTTCCATCTACACATTCACCTTAAACTATCTCTGGCCCCCAAACCAGCTAACTTCGTGTCAGGCTTTTCCAAGATCGTCTGAACCACGCTGTTAGCAATCTTAACCGGCATAGATATCTCGAAACCATCTTCTCCTGTGTAACCACACCGGGACACTCTGATTCGACTTCCTAACACCTCAGTTTCCACGCTGTTCATGAATCTCAAGTCTTTAAGATTGATCTTCACTAACGGTTGGAGAATAGTCGCTGCTGTGGGTCCTTGCAAGGCTACCAGACCTTGTTCCAGAGGGTCTAAGAACTCCAGATCGACCGACTTCCCTTGGGATTTAAAATGTTCCTGTGAATGGAGACGAAACGATAATAATCTTTTTAGTCAGTTTCTAGCAGGGACTTAAATCGATTTTGATACCGATATTATGCCATCAAAGCTATACCCAAACCGATATATTACCGAAAACTGAAATAAATACCGGTATTTTACGTTTCGGTAAAAGTCCTTGGTTTCTAGATTTAGTCTAGTGGATAATGCATGATTGACCCACATGTGATGATTTTTGAAGAAAAAATAAGTCGAAAGTCTGGAATAAAAGTTTTACGAATAGGGTACGTGAGCTATAGAATTGGATCTTGCTGACGTGTCTGTGCATTACTTGCTGTTTCTACTTATTAGAAGCACGAATACATATCTAGATATTTCCGAAGCCAAAGAAATGTACCTTTGTCTTCACTATTGTCTAAATATTCAACTCAGGTGTTTTAAATAGTAATTTTACTTTTTCTGAATATTTACTTCCCATTTTTTAAATATTTCTTTTATATTCTATGAACAGGTATTCAGTTCATAGTTTCTAAACGTATATTTTACATTTTCTGTATATGTATATAATACTTGGATTAAATACTTTCTTCATAGTAAAAAAGTATGGCTTAAAAAATATTCTGTGCTACTGGGGTTATTACACTTGAAGAAATTTCGTTCCAAACTTTTGACCTATTTTGTCGTTCCACCGATAACAGACTTCTCTGTACAGTAGAATCCAACAATAAACTTGCTTAGTAGTAGAATCGGCTCGTATTTCGTATCGTACAGTCAAAGGAAGAATTACAAGAAATTTTTAAATTGCTTTACCTGTCTTTGGATCAGGGTCTGAGAGTCTTCGTTTCTTCTCCCAGCATTAGACACCACGAAATACCTATCATCGCCATCCTTCGTAATGATCAAATCATCCAGAATTCCTCCGTTCTCGTTTGTGAACACTGTCAAAACCGAGTTGCCTTTTTTTAAGTTCCTCAGATCGCTGGTAGTTAGAGATTCCAAAAAAAATGTTGCATCGCTGCCAGAAACACGCGTTTGCATCATGTGTCCCACATCGAACAGCGACGCGTACGTTCGTGTATGCTGATGGGAGGCTGCTATAGCCTCCTGATACTGAACTGGCAGTAGCCATCCGGAAAAGTTGACTATTTTCCCTGAAACGGAATTCACCATTTATTGAATTGTTCATTTTTTATAAAATCTAGATACTTGAAAAATACCTCTCACTTAAAAAGTTATCGTGAATATCAACGAAGTAGTATAGATTCCTAGCTTTAAGAGAATTGAATGCTGATCTCATTCACGTTCATCCGGATAGAAGAGTTTACAATTACATTGTAATTAACTATACTAAATTTACAATAAAAAGTACAATGTATTTGTAAAACTACAATGTAATTGTAATTGTCTCGTAATTACAATGCAATTACATCGTAATTGCGATTTAGATTTTGTAATTAGATTACATTTTGCCCAACTCTGTTACTCAAAGACACACCTGATAAATGGTTCAGTCATTTACCTCCGTTCTCCACGTGAAGATCGTACAAACAGGTCTTCCTTGGCTCCGACGTCGTCGACGACAAACAACGGCCAATCAATCGCTTCCCCACGCTCGAATCGATCAAACACCTCGAGGCGTCGCATTTCGAGCTGATCCGCGAGATCGCCGCCAGTCCAGACGATTCACGTACACGTCCGTTGAACGTTTCGAGGCATTTGTCGAGGCAATCTAGGCACATCGATCTCCCACGCCCGACGAAACGTAACATCGCGTTCGCCTGTTACCGATTTCACCGGGAACTGACTCGAAAACGCCGGTTTCGTGTATACCGGCAACAGCCCTCGATGACCCCTCCAGCTGGCACCAGGCGTCTTTCAGACTCGGATTCAACCGTCGGAAATCGAACGCTCTGTGTCGTTCTCGTGCGACGCAAACATCAGAGTTTACTTGGAATGAAAAGTTCCGAGATTATTTTGTTACTGTTTTGCATAACTTGTATATCTGACCTACGATATTTGCACGATTGTGAACAGTGTGAAGTGTTGTGCGGTGCTTGAATGGTCTCGAGAAGTTATATTCTTCTGTTGTAACAGGGAAGAAAATAATAATATTTATTTATAAAGGGGTTGTGAATCATTTGGTATAAATATACACTGAAAATTTTCAATCATGTATTTTGTGGTTAAAATAAATTTTAAAATGTATTTTGTGGTGAAATAAGTTTTTCTGGGGATTGTAATATAGATATAGTATTCTGGGAAAACGTTATTTCTCAATGTGATTTGTAGGCGTTTCGCGTGACAGCAAGTAGAAACGGACTGCAATGCACAGACACGTTAACACGAGAATTACCAGCATTGAGTGTATACGGAATTAAATTGTAAAATAGTAATATATATAATGTACAATTAAGCATAATATGACATAAAATCTACAGGAAACTAAAAATCACTATAAAATCCACCAAAAACCCCATTATAATTTCAGTAATCGTAAAATAAGAAATCTGAAATCTGGCATTCTGACGGACTCGGTAATTCTAGTGTTAACCAAGTCCTATTCGATGATCGCACGTCAATCCAGCAGATTTTTAAATTCGTATGTCTCGAAAAGAGAGCACCAAACGAAAAGAATTCTATATTTTCGACTCACTTGTGCATTGTTCGGAAATATTTTCTATAGAGGGTTGCTGAAAAGTTTGGGACCATTCTTCCGAAAAAATTCTTGTCTCTGAACGTGTCAATACGGTCTTCCTCGTTCTTTTACTTATTTCTGGCCTTGTGCCTTATCCTCAGATACACGAAAGTTCGATCAGGTTTTTTTTTCTGGGATCATTACGGGAATATTTTTGAATTTTTTAACAGCTCACCAATGCGTCCCTGACTTTTTGTGTCCGAAAGACGTCACCCAAGCGTTCCGTGTTCAGCAAATGTTGCAACTGGCGAACGATAAAGGAGGGCCCCCGGCGATAAACAGATATATGTATTTTCCTGCACGATGGAAGCCACGAATAGAGTATAGTTATCGTTATTTTCGTGCGTAAGAGAGGTCAGCATGCCGCTTAAAGTCGGAAACGATAAGAAACCGCGGCAGATGAAGAATCCTCGTATAAGATGGCGATAATGGTCACGAGACTGGGGGAGAGAACAACAACGGATGCTTATTAAATTTTTATTGTACCACGTAATAATAATATTAATAATAATTAATAATAATAATAAAGATAATAATAATAATCATTCGTCGTCGTAATAATAGCAATAGTTTCATAATAATAAATGACAATTCATTGTCGTCGGTAATAATCCCAGTGACAAGCGTCAATGTTTTTTTTTTTCAGTTTTTCGTATAGTAGCGTGTCGAACGGAGAAACGACCTTAAAAAACGAAGACAGTATCAATTTATTCGTTCGTACATTTTGTTTCATTACGCGTTTTTGTTTTCTTAAGTTCTTTTAACTTCCGTCGTCTTATTCTTCTCGCTCGCGCTTTTGCATTTCGCTTTTCCACCTCGTTTCTAGTCTCTTCTCTTACCTCTCTCTTTCTCTCTCTCTCTCACTCTCTTCCACACGCGCATTCTCTCTCTCTATTCTTTTTTTTTTTTCATTGAATTCGTTTTCTTTCTCTCACACACACGCACACTTTCTCCCTCTGTCTTGTGTTTTTTTTTCTCTTTATTTTATCTATACGCAATTGATGCAAAATGTCCCTACACAGTCCGACGAATGTGTGTGTGTGTACGTTTTGTAATTTATACTTATACTTTTTTTTTGCGATTTTTTCTTCCGAGCGATCGATTTTGCCTTTCTCATCCTCTGGGTCGTTTAACAAACTGATGGTGTTGTTTCCTTTTTTTTTTTTATACTCGACGCTTTTTTTTTCTTCCGTTAAACCGATCTTCGATCATCGTCGCTAGCGTATTTCGTTATTATTTTTTTTTTCTTTCGTTAGCGCGCTTCTATATCCATCTTTTTTGCAAAAACTCCGCTATAAATTTCCCTTTTGTAGCACGTGTTGACACATGAACACATTCACTCACATTGGGTTGATCGGTTTTCTACTGGAGGGACTTGGGTTCGGGGATGCTGGGGGGATTGGTGGTGAGATTCGGTGATACTATGGTGGATGGATGGTGGTGAGATATGGTGGTGTGTTGTTCAGGATTAGACACATGGAGGGGGTGTGTGTGTGGTGCCATACCTGTGAGGTGTGCATGGGTGTGGGGGGATTGGGATGAGGTGTGCGTTGGGGATATTCAACAGAAACAAGGATTCACTTGGGGGCTGAGAATATTCGAACTAAACAAGAATTCACTTGGGTGCTGAGGATATTCAACAGAAACAAGAATTCACTTGGGTACTGAGGATATACAAAAGAAACAAGGATTTACTGGGGGTCTGAGGATATTCGAACAACACAAAAATTCACATGGGGTCTGAGGATATTCGAAGAAAGCAAGGACTTACTGGGGGCTAAGGATATTCAACAGAAACAAGGATTCACTTGGTGGCTGAGGGTGGGGATCATAATAATTCGGAACACTCGCGAGGAATATGGATAATGATTGCGGTGAAACAAAACAAAAAAACAGAAGGCCCTACGAAATGCTTCGGCCCCATCGGTCAACGGGTCCGAAAGATACTTCAAGGAAAATTTTTTGACGTTTCCGATTGCCAATCCTCACGATACATTCAAGATATTCTTCCGTTCGAAACATTAACAATTTGGAAGCTCTGAAGTTCTAATACAATCGAATGTGGTTTACGTTTTTTTTCTCCGATTATTATTTTGTTCTCCGGGGATTGCTTTCGACAATCGAATCAATTGTCCGAAATATTCGTCGACCGAGGGACATTTTTTTGTGTTCTTTTTTTGTCGGGTCTCACGATGCCGAGAGCGTCGAAAAATCGATAACATAATATCGCCTACTGATCGCGACGTGGGGGTTACGGGTTGGTCGGTTGAACACCGAATTAATTTACTTTTCGATCTAGAATGGAAAATGGCGATCGGGGATATGGGGGAAGAAAGTATACTGTCTCTCGTTTCCGCGATTTCTCGTCGCGTTCGTTCTTACGCGTTTCATTGTTTTTTTTTTTCTCTTCTCAACGAATTTCCCATCTCTTCTATTTCCCCTCTTTCCTTCTCCTGCCTGAGCTATTTACTTATGTACTTTTTTTTGCTTTAAAGATTTTCTATTTATGCTTGTTTTGCCTCTGTGTGTGTCGCCTCTCCTCCTCTGCTCGTCCTGGAACGCGACAATGCGCCCTTTCGTTTAGTTCTCGAATCGCGTTTAGTTTTGTTATCCGTGTTCGAAAACACGGGTGATTGTGGTGGTTTACAAGGGGGTAGAATATCGAAATGAAAACCAGAGGTTTACAAAACTTGTGTTGAGGGAATTCGTCGGAAATTGGAAGTTTGATCGGGCCGCATTGCCACGTAACGAGGAAGCACATCGCGTACGCGGTTCGCGTTTCGTTTCGGTTTTATTGTTCTTCTTGCTTTTTTTATTTTTTCTATTTATTTATTATTTTTTGCACCGGATGTACGTATGCGCGCGCGTACATACATACATATATGTATATCTTTATATATAGATATATACTGTAAGAATTTTTTTGCATTGTGATTGTGGTTGTGGTAATATTTCATATCATCGGCTATTTTTCTTCTCTGTGGTGGGCGGTGGTCACGAACAGAAACCAAGGATTGAGTCGTTTACTTTTTTGCTCCTCATGTTTTTCCATTTCTCTATTGTCTGTTGCGGAAAACATCTCTATTGCAATGCTCTATTGTATGTATATTAACGGGAAGAAACGAAAAATCATTCCAGCGAACGCAAAAAAGAAATGAACTCTATTTGCCTGCTATTATTTTTCGTGTGTTTCAATCTATGCGCGTGATTTTATCTTCTATTTTTCGTTTTTGCTTTTTGTTTCCTCGTATTGTTTCCGAAATATATCGATTTTTTAATTTTGGTATTTTTTCTTCAGTTTTTTTTCGTCGCATGTGCTCTCTACCGTTTCGATCTTTTTCTGTTCCTCTAATTTTTTTTTTTTATTCTTTCCTCGTTTGGCCGTGACTATTACTTTTCCTTTTAGTAGCTTTTTTTTCTCTCTTTGCTCGAGGGGAGGGGGACAATTTTGTTTGTTTGCCTGCCAACGTGGTTTTGTTACAGTGTGCAATCACCGTCAAAAAAAAAATTTCTCGCAACTCTCGCATTCTCTCTCTCTCTCTCTCTCTCTCTCTTTCCTTCGTTCTCTCGCTTTCTTTCTTGCTCTCTGTCTCTCTTATACTCTCACTATTATTCGTGCTCCCTATATACTTCGAGTTCGATAATTTTCGTCTAAAATTCCATTTTCGCCTTAACTATACACAATAATCATAATATATAATAATAATAATAATCACGACTCGAATACATCATCGATCACCTCCGAATATAGATACAATAATTATTTTTTTTCTTCTCATCATCAACTTCAACCTCTTTCTCTCCTCTTTCTCTCTTTCTCTCTTTCTCTCCACTCTTCACGCTTTTGTGTAATTCTCCCTTAATCATCATCAACGTTTTCTTCTCCCACCCTCATCCTATCATATTACATCTCACAATAATGATCGTTTAGGTCGTCGTATATCTATACATATACATATACATATACATATACATATATATATATATAATTTATAAAATGAAAATAGGTACAATTTTGGACGCTTTTCTTCGTCGAAAAAACGCTCCGAAAATCTCATTTTCGCTTAATAATGC